TCTCCGACGGTCGGAATGCGCTTCCTGGGATTCGTCCACGGAAGCGCTGCCTCCTCGAAGATTCGTGATCCGCTGACTTCCTTCGAGGAACAGCCAAGGTTTCCGTTAAGAGCGGAGCTTCCTGAAAGTGACGCGATGCATTTCCCGCCACGACGAGCAAAATACGCCTCAAGCACGGACGAAGCTACAAGGAGAAGCGGGCGAGCCAGAAAACACTCGAGAGCCACAGGGCTGGCTGCCTTCCATCAAAAGTTCATCCTAGAGGCGAGACCTGATTTGTTCACCTTCAAGGAAACAATGAACCGAGTTTTTTCGCTATCGGGGTCAGTATCTACGGCCAGCTCAATCACGGCCTAAAGTTTTGTCGGCTTCTCTGAGCGGGCCATAGAGCCACAACATATGTATGAAACCCGGAATGAGACACAAACAACAAGTAATCATCCCTTTGTTCCCCGTTCCTCTGCAGCTGCAGATAAGACATTACATCCACGGGTGCGCTCGTTTCCCCGACTTACTTGCCGGAGGCAGGGAGGAAGCGTACGGACCAGGGAGAAATACTCTAAGCCTTGCAATGAATCTCGCATCGTCCGGAATCTCAGCTCGAAAGGTTCTCAGGAGCCGGGAGCCGCTCGGATGCGCTCGAGGAATTGCGAACTAGAGCCTCGAATAAAGAGACTGAAAGCAGCGGTCGTACGATATCATTCGCCGATAATTTCACATTTATTATTCCTTCTTAGCAGCGGTCTTCTTGACCATTTCCATGATTTTCGCCATAGGTGACTTCTTCTCATCATCGGCCGATACTCCCATCGGTGCGAAAACGGCTACAAGGAACAAGACCACCAACAGCGCGAAGAGGATCTGGTTACAGACTGCGTTCATGTTGAATTGGAAGTTTTCCGTGTCGTGCGTTTTCCAGACGCGACGACGCTTTTATACGGCTCCCTGCGAAATTAGGCGTTTGTTTACCCGACGTTTCGAGTGTTTCCTCAGATTCTCCCTGACGAAACTCTCCTCGTCGAAGACGACCTTGTCACGCAACGTCTCCGCATTCTAGCTCGATGACACGATAATCGGTGCGTCAGGAGACAGCGTACCGCCTCGCGCATTCAAACACACTGGGCTTCCTTCATTTTGGAATGATTTGCCCGAGTAAATCGGACAGGAACATAGTCGATTCGGAGCGCTATCGGCACGTTCATTTATCGGAAAGCCATCAGCCGAATATCTTGGACTCCGCCTGCAGACAAAGTGGGACGCGTTTCTCTGCACACATCAAAGGAGTTTGCTGCAAGACGATCGCGACGACGTATGGAGAGATCGGGACCGCTACAAACTACCGGTCTTCACAGCCATAAGACTGTTCCACACAAGAGCTCTTCCAAAACTCTCTTATTGTACGGACCGAGCACGGAAACATCTCTCACTGAAGAGCTCCTGCGACTTCGAAAAATGCTATCGTACGTACCTCAAGAGAACATTCGGAGTCCCCGAAAGCACTCGCAACCGATATCAGTACGTCCTTCCGGGCGTGGAAATGCCATTCGCCGAGTCTATGGGATAGACGTTGAGAGCAGAGAACCAGCCCGCATTTCTGGAGTTTGTCGAAGGATGGATGACCAGAGACAGAGCAGCCCGGATAGAGTAAGAAAAAGATCCGCAGCGCCGTGAGACCTGGAGCGCGCCCATGCACTCAAGACGACATGTCTGGACCGGATGTCTCATTCACGGCTCCCACCTTCGCTCATGTGACGGAGAGCCATCCACCGAGAGAAGCATCCGTCAGCATGCGGTCATGTGCGAGTCGGGACCCAGAATCGGAAAACCGGGTGGTGCGACCGCCTTGCAAAGAGGAGTCTCGCTCCAGCACTAGGCTGAAGTCGAGAAGAGACTCCCGACGCGTCGGGCGCATATCTAACATTTTCAAAACGCATGCCCATGTATATTCCGGGGGGGCCGTATTGCTTCAACAAGCGACAGGGCCTCCTGCAACTAGTAAAACAAGAAGTTCTCTTCTGTTGCAACACACTGCAGTCGGCTCATATTACGAAGTGATCGGATTAGCGCATTGACGGTTGCTCTTGTGGACGGCTGAAACAAGTAAGGCGCCTGCTTTTCGACTGCAACGATCATCTCCCGCACACAGAGAACACTCCGCCTTCCGAGGAGTTATCTCGGAACCAGATGCCGATGACGAAAACAAGTATGTGTCTATGTGCTGGCCAGCATCAACTCCACAGCCTGACGTGTACTCTGAGTCGAACTGACGGCTTCGGCGTCCATCGGATGGGGCTGCTATTCCAAACTCCGTTGCAGGCGAAGCGCCGCTGTTAGAAACGCCTTCATTGCGTGGAGCGAAACTCACTCGCCTGATGGAAAATCATCTCCGAAGGGACAGACGGGAACGAAGAAGCCCCGCGCAATCTGGACGTCGTGTGGAATCGACGAGTTCCGAGCGTGAGGGGCCAGACAAATTATTGAAAAATATCCGGAGCCCCAAGCAGAACCGGAAATTTTCGGTTTCATGCATTTTGTGGGGCCGTTTTCGGCTCATACTCGCGAAAAAACGAGAGCAGCAACCAGCTGACATCGATATGGGCCGCGCGTGCTTAATCGACTTCCGCAGCGATCATTGATGATCTGACCATCACTTAGTCGACCGGTCATCGCAATTTCTCTCCTTTCGTAATGATGGAGCGATGCACGACATAATTCGGACATTCCCAGTGGACGACGACTCGCTCCTCTCGATTCTCGATGACGAGTCCCAAAGTATCCCTAATGCCATAATGATTCCAAGCGAGAACGCATCCTCGGCGATGACTCGAGTCTTCTAGTGTAGCGATGGCTTTGGGCTTTCGTTCCTTGCCCGTTTCGTTTTCATAGAAGATGATGGGAGCTAATTTGATTTATCGCAGAAAGACAATCTCTGGCGGTTATCTGAGCATACTGTGATCGGGAGTTCCTATCTGTCTGTTCGCGAGAAGCTCTCTGCTTCCCCGTCCAGCTCATCACACGAGGCTGCCGTTATTTCTTCACGTTACTCGTCAAGGAGAGGCTGGGGCTCTCTCCGAGTAGATTGCATGCTGCTCGTTCGCTTTCCATCATCCAACATACGCTTGAACGAGAGGAGTTCCCTGTGATCGATTCGGTCGGTAACATGACAAGCTTCCGGAAAAAATGAATTTGTCGAGAGACCGATGCTTACGAAGGCTTAGTGAAAACTCGCAGTCTGTCAGGGGGACTCTCGGCTCCGGCCGTCTCTAGCTTTAGTTTGAGAGGGTATGAGCGGCACCGGCGCGGATTGAGGATGGAAGAGCATCTTGAGTTCATTGAGCACTGCTGACTCGCACCATTCCAACCGCTACGAGTTCGAGTCTCCAAGAGCGGTGACAACGTCGGGAATCGACTGCATGGATGAGGAGTTTAAAGAAATCGCGTTCGATCACGCGTCCTTCACTTCTGATAGGAGGAGCTGCTTTACAATCGCTCAAGCTCGTCTCGCCGAGAGGAAATTGGGTAATAGCGCACTGGGGCTTCCTTGCCTCCCATTATTTCCGTCAAAAGCTCCTCGTCTCTAAATGCTGGCGATCCGAGGAGGGATCGTGTATCAAAGGAAATACCGACTGACCGATTCCCGACAGCAATTCCCCTTGATACAGACTCCATGGGATCTCTCTCTCTGGGATTCGTAAATAATTCCAGATTTCACTTTCTGCTAGATTCAAGGAAAACTCTGCTGCTTAGCCAGCTGGTGCTCAGTTTGAACAAGTTCGAGAAGTTCAGAAACTCAACACGGGGGTCCATCAGTAGACGACAGTGATGCTATCGAGCTGACAAGGGAAGTTTTGTCGGATACACGCACAGCATACACGATGCACAGATATCGATCAGACGACGAGGCAAGATTCTCTCCTAGCGTCGCGTCGGCCAAAATCAGGCGTTATCTTGGCCCCGGGCGAAGCGATGACTGATGTAGTCGAATAATATCCCCCTGCCGTCCGAATCGGCATGCCTTATCGGGCCTAATTATCTCATTTTTCTTTCTCCCGAGGAGCCAAAATGCTATTGGGCGTATCGATGTGCGAGGCCGATCACCTGCACGCAGGTACGAGTTGTCTACAATTTTTGGTCGGCCTTAGTGATACCGTGCTGAGACGACGATTGCTCCGTTTTGGCATTGCTCTGAATCACACCTCCAGGAGGATATCTCCGCTCAGTCGGAGTTCGAATGTTGCGCGGATAATTGTTTGGTCCTCATCCATTTGGTGGAGTTGTCATTTGCAGCGAAGGAGACTGCAGACAGTGCGGAAATCGGCGTATGTATACGTGAGATCGGGAAATCGTAGGGAGAGAGGTCGATCATTAGCGGCATTCTCGACCATATTGTCCTTCGAGTTGTTTGGATGAGGATTAGCGACTATGAAGAACTCCGGGAACAGACCCATATATATATCATGGGCCCTTACGGTCCTCCTGTAATAGCAGTATCCAATCATTGTCATCACACAGCTCGCAGTGGTTTGAGACTTGATACCCTGCGGAGCGTTGCATCAGAGACTGCGCGCTGTCTCGCTGATTCGGGGTTCGACTTTCTAGGAGCAACTCTACATTCAAGCACTCGCGACGAGCCACGGTATATCTGACGCAGCGTAGGAGACCTGACTGGTATTCTGATCTGCGATGAACCCATGAAACAATATTCCGTCCTGTCGGGTCCGTGTGGCTCCGTTCTGATCCTGGGTTGCCGTCGGAGCGCGCATCATATCATCACTTTGTACTTCGACCTTCGACTCAGCCTCACAAGAGCTTTTCTTCTCCGGCGAGATATCCGTAGGAGCCCGATCCCCTTCCCCAATGATTCGTGTTGCATCCTCAAGATCGACGTCGTTCGTCTGGACGCTTGCCGGGCTCCCGATCAGATGTCTCCGAGAAGCAGAATCTCGGCCGGAGTACACTCATCGAGCACTGAACTCGAGAGAGAAAATCAATGAATATGGAAAATCTGTATATTCTTTTATTTCGCAACTGGCTCGTCCGAGGGTAAAAGTCTTTTAATGTCAGCTGTGCAGTCGCAACCATCAGCGTCTTTCAGGCTTGGGTCGGCTCCGTGCTCGAGGAGGATTTGTGCGATTTCAGCGTAGTCACAACAGCACGCTGCAAAGCGAGGTACAGTGTTCGTTAGTTGCGGTCAACGCGATTGGGTTTGCTGAAGATAAGAGTCCAAGGGGTCTGGTATTGACGATAATAATAATTGAGTCTCGAACGTCGAATTGAACGGGGGCGACGTCCATCCAGCGTAGCAATCATCCTCACCGTAATGAAGAGCCGTCAGGCCGGACTTGTCTCTCACGTTCACGTCGTCCGGGAACTTCCGCAATAGATACCTCACCAAGTCCACGTGACCTTGATCGCTGGCCCAATGAAGTGGCGAGAGGCCCTCGTCATCTTGAGGAAGCCTCTCAGTCGAGGACAAACGCTTCTCGACCTCCGACGCATCGCCTTCTTTCGCCTGCGAAAAATCAATTGTGAATCGCATGAGAGTAGTAAGCGCGGAACCGAAAAGGGAACCCTCGTACTTGGGAGTCCCGGTCAGGAAGGTTGGCACGGATCATACTCATGTATCTTCCGCTATGCATACCCAGTCGAAGACCGTTTTCTCATCGTCCTTCGTCGATTCCATGGAATGTCGCAAGGTGCTGACGGTCATGCCGAATTGCCCACTTTTGTCGAGTTCGACACTGTGCTTCAACTCCTGCCAGAGAGCCAGTCGTTCACGTATTCACGGAGGCACAATCACTCGTGCTGGTACCTCGGTACCGAAAAAACTGAGGTCAAGATGGATTCATATTACGCTCCGGGAGCGACTCACCGCAAAGTCTGGATCTTTACTTTCTACTATGGCGACATATTCCTCCATCGCCGTGGATCTGGACATCTCCTTCAATGCATTCCAGGCATCCCTAGGATGAAAGAAAGAGAAGCTCGAAGCCCAGGGGAGAAATCCGTTTGACGACACTCTATTCAGTATGAGACTCGCATATCTGCTTTTGTCCGCATTTCTAATCTTGAATCCATACGAACCATTTCTGTTTGCCCTTCGAGTCGAACCAACCATTTGGCCGCTCGGTGTTACAGGCACCCTCGGTGGCCTGTTTGTATCTGCAAATGAATACATCAATATCTTCGTGGGATCGCGAATTTTAGGAAGCATTCTCGGCTCTTCGGGGCGTTCTTCTTCAACCGGATCTCTTTCTCTCCCGTCCCAGAGCGTGCCTCATAGGGGAGACAGAACCGAAGATTTTACCTTGCATATAAAGACAGGAGGCTAGCGTTGTCGAGATCCCCCGCCAACTTTAACGCGACGTGTTTAGTTGCTCTGTTGAAGAAAGCTTCTAACTCCGGAGTGCCTTTTTCTTCCGTCATCTCGGAGGAGCCCCTGGGAAGGAGTAAGGGAGTGCTCTAGACACTTCGGTAGCGAACATCGATGGAACTATTTTTCCGTACACTCTCGTCCTGAAGTTCCTCGGGCAAAGTTAGTCGGTACTTTCCGGAGAGTTCCTCATGATATAATAGGGACGGGCTTTTTTTGCACAGCACGCTGGAACACGTTTCTTATTCTCGAATGAAATCGCGAATGAGTTCGCGCGGGGCCTGGGAACCTCATCGACCTTGGAACTCGTGGAGATTCGCCGAGAGCGGAATCGGCTTCCGGGGGGCACGGGATAATTGATCATGCTCACAGGTCGGCCAATTCGATGAGCTCGGCGAGGAAAATAAACATATGGTGATGGAAATCTGTGGAACTCACGGCATAGAGCGGCGCCGGATGGAACATCAGATGTTTTAACGTCCAGCTGATCCATGTGCTCCTCCCGCCGTTTAAGGCATTTACGGACTCAGCGTAAACACGCCCATCACCAGCGCGCCTGGGGGAGAGCGAGGAGCCGGGATCTCGTGCTATCCCTGTTCGAAGTATTGCCGGGGATCAAATCTGCGCATGGGATTGGAGGAATTTGAGTAGAGGAGAGCGGGAAAAAATCGTTGAGCCCAGCGCCGGCCTCTGGATATGTAGAAACTTTTGACAGGCGGTTCCGACGCTTAGCGCTCACCCAGCACTCACACAGAATAAACACTACGGGCAGCGGTGACTTGGCTCCATAGTCGGAGAATTTTCCTTCCTTCCGGTGACAAGTGACAATCTTTGATGTTCTAAACATGAGTCATTCCCTCATTTGCCGGTGCTGATTGAATTCTCATCCGTGCCTTCATGAGTTTGTCCTGACTGGAGCAGCGCTTCAGCCCACGGAGGGAGGTTTTGCTTGCATTTCGAAAAGTCTGAAGAGCGGATTCGAAATGGCAGCTTCTGGCCCTACTCGGCCCCCTCGGTCCTCGAAGCTCACCAGGGAGTCCTCGGCAAGCGGACTCATATCTGTGATCAGGAACCTCTCCTCGTCACAGGACAATGAAGACAGGTGAGAGTAGAGTCGAAAAGATCCCCAAATTTCCGAGCCGAGTATTCGCTCTGACCGAGTGAGAGAAGCGAGGTACCAAGTCCGGAAGTTCTGATGACGGCGAAAGGGGAGAATACTCTTGCTGAAATTCAATCGTAAATCTCTGCCGTTCTACGAACAGAGATCGCGAGAAGACGAGACTTGAGAAGGAGTTCAAACGTTCCGATCAACGTTTGGACGTACTGATCGATAGTCACAGAGATGCCCTCATCCGAGCCATGCAGGACTTCAACAAGATATCCACCCGGATAACTTCGGCCAGAGATCGTGTCAAACAGGTCAGCCCACGAAAAACACTGTGAGCTCTCTGAGGGTGAAGGTCTCGAGAGAAAGATGGATTCGAGAAACCGATCTCTCCTTTTTTTCCAGGTGAAGCAAAAACTTCAAACCAGTAAGATTTTGCTCCAATGTAAACGCGACGAGCTTCGACGATTGTGGCTCGAGTCAGTGGAACATTCTCATGTACTCCAACTCTTGGAGCAGATCGAAGGTTTGAACTCGGTTCCCCACAAGCTCGACAAGTTCATCAAAGTTGGCCGGTGAGTACCCGCGGTACCGAAATGCGGAATCACCGTCTCTTCGGGCACACAAAACCGAAAAACAGTCTCGCCATTCGGATGAAGCACTGACGTGTACGTCGATTGATCTGCCCCTAGCTATCTGCGAGCCACGATGGATCTCGTGAAGAGCGTCTCGCTTCTCAAAGGGGACCTTGCCGATGTGGATGCCCTCAGAGAGGTTTGTCGAATAATCGATCAGATGAGAGAATTAGGTTCATTCGAGCGAATGAGGCGTTCAATATGGTCACATCTGATCGCTGACATCTCACTCTCTGTCATAATACATATTGGATCGTCCCACAAAGTCTCCGAATCGCTTCCAGGTGAAAGACAGTCTACAACAGCAGAAAGAACAGCTGCACGAAACTTTGATAGAAGAGCTCCACAAGCACATATACGATGAAGTCACACAGGAATGTTTGAATAATTTCCTCAAGATGGGTCGAACGCCGAGAACTGAGAATCATATCAGCCAACGCATTCCCGCCTCAGTCGATATCGACGAACTGCTCAAGATGGAAGACAGCCTAGATAAACTCGATTCGGAAAAGCAAGCCATTATTTTGGTCAGGTGTCTCGTGCTGCTCGAGAAGATACCGGAGAGTGTAGAAATGATCAGGTTTGTCGGATGAGGAAAGATATTCAATAGGGGAGTTTTTCGCTTCCGGAACCAAAAGGTCATGGATGGGTCAACTTTCCAGAGAGCGATGTCAAGGTCATCTGTATAACTCGGTCTCACGGACGACCGCTGCTGTCCTGAAAGGTGGAGAAGGACCCGAACGACTCCTCCAACTGCTCGATTTGATTTTCGCACAATTTAGAACCATCGCCAAGAGGTAAAGGAGATTATCGATCCCTCGGGGCATCCGTTCGAAAATTCGGGATACGCTGTTCGGTAAGACGGGAATTTCTCTTCCGCAGACACGAATTGGTTCTATTGCATCTCCAGCCCCGAGAGGAGATCGTTCGCGACGAAGAGGGCATCGCCTTATCGATGCTGTATACCATGGAGGATATCCACTCGAAGATGCAACATGTTCTGACCACGCTATTGAATTGTTACCTGGGTGCTTCGAGCGTGCGCCAGGAGAACCACAGCGGTTTCGGTGCTCCGGGCAGCGAGAACGTGGACATAAATCTGTTCTTTGTGAGACGCCGTCCCTTCGGAAATTCCGCCAACCCCACGAAACAGAGAAAATTCACACTGTTCAAATTCGATAACTCGCAGTTGGCCATATCCAAGAGCTGCTACCTTCAGGAACAACAAGTTATCAACAGAGACCGGCGTAAGCGAGATTAGGACGTTCGCCTATTTTCGATCGGGTCAGCGAGAGACAGATTCTAATAGCTGCGGCTCGTTTTCAGCCGATGGTATCGCCGGGGGTGCTTGGGATCACGTCGTGTGTACACCCTCATACAAAAATATCACCTATATGTTCAGACCGATGCTTCACTTCGTCGAAGAGATGGAAGACGCTCAGAACAGCCCTCTGCACAATGTCCTTACAGGAGCTGTCGGAGGTTTCTTGGGCATGGTCAACGACGAGCTGCAGGTGATCCGATCGAGTTTCCCGCTTTCATCTTGTAACATCCTCGTGCAGCCGTTTCAAGCTGGGACAGGGGAATTCATTTGGCATAATTTAATAACTACGGAGTCACTCCCCGCAGACGGTGGTCGAGCAATCTGCGAAACTTCTGGAGGACTTCCGGGTGATAACAGATGCCGACACCCTGAAATCAATGAAGGTCACTCGGCCTCTTCTGCACAGCTGCGTCGCGATCGAAGGCATTATTCAAGTGAGAAAACACCTCGTTCCTCCCTAATGAGCTTATCGACTCGATGTAGTCGATCGGAACGTAATCTTCCTGCCTCTTCAAGGTGCTTCGTGAACACGCTCAAGCTCTTCCTCAATTCGCATTTGAGTTTGTTGAGAAGGCGTGCTACGTCGTGGCTCAGTACAGAGAGATCGCAGAAACAGCCTACCGGACAATTGTGCCTCCGCAAGAAGTAAGAGGCTAAATTATTCTTACTCGGGTTCTTAGAGCCAGTGTCGGCCTCAAAGAATATTGAGATCTCATCTAGGGAGTATCTTTCGAAGATGGAACACAGGCCGGTACCGTGTCGTTCATGCATAATAAAAGCATTCATTCCTTCTTCAGATACGACAAACGATCAGCAACCACTGGATTTCTGATCCGGATATCTGCCGCTGCCTCATGGGACTTCCGAACTGGATCAATCTCATTATGCCCACGGACCACGAGGAGGTTCGTAAGGCGATTATATGATCTGTCGAACGCGTAGATAAAACGTGGAATAATTCTCCAAATGTACTTGGATTTTTTCCTCGATCAGCTGGAGGAGAGTCCTGAAGACATTCGCCTACGTAATCAGCAAGAAGTGGGAATTCTGCTCTCGAATCATGGTCAGAAGAAAGTCATTCCATCTTCGGAGATATTCAGCAATATCCATGATCTGAAAATGGTTGCTCATCTATCGGAGGGTCTGGAGTGGTTGAGCTCGAGAATCGGAGGTAGGTTGGTCTTTTGTTGTGGAATGCTTGTTCAGAGAAACCGAGTCTCCTCGAAACAATCTTCACTCCCTCTCTCGAAGCCTTAGAGCGAAGTATCCGACATGACCAATTATTCTTTCTTCCACAGAGATATGCGAATCTCTGAAGGTCGACAAAATACATCAAACCGACGATGCGAGGCTTCAGGAAGCCGTGAAGAAACTAAAGGATCTGTCCTCAGAACTCCAACAGAAGGCGAACATCTGTCTTTTGTTGCTTCATCTCGAGGTAAGATATGGACCACTCGGTCGAAGACCAGAAGCTTTGAGATAAAAAAGTATCTTCGGGATCCGCGTGTCAGTAATCCATCAGAACACAGAGCACGGCCACGCAGAGCAAAGTTCTATGCTATTCGGTAATTTCCAGGTCCGCGTGCACTGCTTCTATTATCTTTTGCCACTGGTGGCTGAAGGACATTTCACGACGTCCGGAAATTCGGTGGACGGTCAAGACACGGACAGGCAGGTCCTGGAGCTCACCGAGGATCTTACTAAGATTGAAGAAGCCCTCAGCACCGCTGTGCACGCCAGGAAACATAAGTTAGAATCGGGAAATTGAGGGCTAACGCATTTTCGGTTACCGCGGGATCCAGACCCAGAGCTCGGTGTGGTCCTGAATATCTCACTAAACATCCGCAGATATGTTTTCGAAGGATTGGGTCAAGTCGTCGCTGTTATCCTCATGAGTGCAGTTCCCCAAATCCACCGCATCAATGACCTGGGAGTTAAGAGGATCTGCCGGTGGGTGACACTCGTTTCGTATAGAATCTCGGAATCCGTAGAAGAATGATCCCTTGTCATGGATTGGAAAATTTCAGGGATATCCACGCAATACAGCAGAAGCTCACGGCCATAGCAGCCGGTCGAGAGGTTTCTTTGGATCACGCGAGACAGTATTTCGAGCTTATGCTGCTCCCGGCTCAAGAGGTCCTGAATGGCATCGTTGAGAACGGACCGCAATTCCAACACCTGGAATACAAGTGAGCTCCAAACCCTCCTCCAAGGGAGTATTCTTGAGCGACGGTGAATTAGGTAGCTGGAATAAGTGGTCCTCGAGCCGAGATCCCGGCACAGAATGGACGCTTCACGTACTTTCCCCCTGCAGGAACCTCTTGGAACTGCTGTGCAGATCTCGACCCGACGAGAAGGATAAGGCTGATTGGTATAACAACCGCTTGAAAGACATCCTATCTGATGTTCCCGTCAAAATTTGATACGATGTCGGCAATCCAGCGATCGGAGCCCTCAACATCAGCCTCCCGGAGGACACCTGTGGTGGATTGCCCCGGCGATTCAGCTGCGAGCATCCCACGAGGCAATATCCCGAATGCCGGATGTTGGCTAATCGACGATTTCCGTGTCGCCATATGCACGAAATTATGAAAATCTAATGTAATATCGAGGGCAAATATCTATGAAAGATGATATAGAATCCACAGCTTGATGAGTTCTGATACGCCCACTTCTGAGTGAGTTTCATGAGTGTGCATTCGCGAGGGAACGGGCCCATGTACTCGATCTACCCCTGCGGCTCGGAGTTGAGTTAGATAATAATATATGTGTATCCATGAGAATATTCATGATCAGTTCCCAGAATATTTATTAACATAGACTTTGACTCAGAAAAGATGAAGCGAGAGCAGTTTTGGGCCTGCTATCCGCAGCTCTATTGGTGTCTGCGCTCTCATGTGTTCCGTCACGATGGGCGTCACGGTTAGTCTCCGGTCGCAGACAATTGGCACTTCGGGAGTAACACTGTCCAAACGCTTCCATGAATACTTATAGCTCGGAAAACTTAAGCAGAGGCTCACAGTCTCTTTCCTCATCACGGAACCCGACCTGGAGCGCCACGGATCATAAAGGTACTTGAGCTCTTGACGCATCGTTCAGTGTCCCTGGATTTCCTATTTCCTCCGCCCGCACATCGAGCCACTCTAGCAGACGAATAAAGAACCTTCCAAAACGGGCTCCTCCAGACCGAATTATTGTGACCGGACAGAACTTCGATCGGGTGCTCTCCTGCATTTCCTACCTATCCTTCCGTGATTCATTCTCTCGAAACCCTCATGCCGAAGCATTGCGAGACCGATCTCGGATTGAGGATTTCGTCACTTGGAGCGGGTTCCCTCTCCGAATCTCTCGAGCGAGATATGAAGATTCCCATCGGAAAACCTAATATCAACAATATTTCCCGAGGACCCTTCAGGATTTTGGTCCCCAATGTGGGATCAGCGGCTTCCGCGAGACTCTGCTCGGGCCATGTAGAGTCCCGTTTCTTCACCTACTTAATCGAACTACCTCCGTGTATTCTGCTGCATCCTGTGTCGTTTATGCAAGTGCCGATGAAGATTTCGCGGTGACAGAGGATCGATGATGGCTCGGAAGACCTCGTAAGAGTAACTCGGGGCAAGAAAAATTTGAAGTTACCGCCCAGAGATCCAACACTGAGGTGATCAAGCCGTACAATGGTCACCAGCAGTGATTTGCGATGGGTTCGCCTGCCAACCGAACAGGAAATAACCTGTAGACGCTCCAAGGATTACAGCGAGACATATCCACACATTGAAATACATGAACAGTAACATCAGCAGATATCCAAGCGTCAGCTGAACGACATATATGGCTGTTTGTGATAGGTGGCTAGTACTTGTTATCCTGCAAAGGAGAATGTTGCTCTCAGACTTGGGAGTAGAACTCCGGCTGGAAGTTTATGGAAGTTTCCGGCCTTGTCGGTCGGAGGGTCCGAAAGCGAAGTGAGCGGAAGACGAAAAATTCAGACAGAAAACTCACTTCACAGTAGACTCGGTCTCGGGAGTCGCGGGAGCGGACGTCTCTCCGTTGACGCCATTCGACGTTCGAATCGAGGAATACCTGGATACGGAATTTGACTTTCTCAATTCCTAAAATCCGATCCGCCAAGGGGAATATCGATTTGGATGGACAGAAAAATTCTCACCTGATCTGTTGACTTTTTATCAACAGTCGAGCCCGCAGGAACTTGAGGTATTCGTAGAAAAGCGCCATGAAGAAAACGACGCCGCATGATCCGAGCATTCCCCAAGCACCTTCTATCTGTAGAATTTCATAGAAATCATCATATTTCTCCGGAAAAATTAGGCTTTCATGCTGAAGGGGGGGACATTGATGAAAAATTGAGCTAGGATTCCCCTCAAACACGATGAATCCATACCGATATACTGAACTTACATTCCACCAATCGAAGAGGAACGTTCCTGACGTTCCGAAATAGAAGCTCACATGCATCATCTGTAAAAAACAGCATTATTCGATTGCTCGCCACCTATTTGACTATCATAGGGGTTTCGTCATGATTCGATTTGATCTCCAGGATTTCGAAGAACCACTGGTCTCGGATCGCACGGATTCGGGAACTGACCGGCATTGGCTTTGCCGACACCGAATGCGGTTTCGGAGATTCACCCATCGCTTCGTGAGCCATTGAGTGGTGAGAATGGCTGGACATTGCTCCGTCTGAAGGAAAGATATCGTTGGTGAATTGTCGAGCTTCAGGAGGGCATCGATCAGCCAAGAACCAATCATAAATCGATTTTTATGCTGTGAAAAATATTCCCGGATCGTTCCGTGCGTTCGTTCGGGTTCGGTTTGAGTCAATCGGCTCCGGGGTCAGCAGTCTACTCAAAAGGGGTAGGATGGCCCCCCTCTGGCAGTCCCCGAGAATTACGATCAACGACTAAAGTAGCTCCAAGATCTCCTCCTAGACCACCGAGGGTAACGCGAACATGGAGCCGAACGGGGCGATTGATGTTGAGAGGTGGATATTCTCGGACATCACCCGCATTAAATGAATTATATTTGTTCCGGTCGACGCTGGCTGGCCCACTTGACGCTTAACAAGGAATATGTGCTCCGCGTGCTACCTCTCTTCTTTTCACGCTATGACAAAGCAGACACGAATCGAGGAAACGCTATAAATAAAAATTCCACACACTCGACTCTCAATTATTCGAAAACCACAATCCCCGACCCAGTGGACAGCACTCCGGAATCCTCGTTGCGGTTCTCCGTTGAGATGATTTTATCGGAAGATGACGGTACAGCAAAGCAGACAAAGGAGCAGCGAACCTAATCGAGCCGATTGACGAGCATTCTCCAGGAATGCAGGGCATTTCTGAATCGATGCAGGCAATCGATTGCTCTCTCAGGGCATCTATTCTCTCTCGAACTGCGCATAACGGTATCACAGTTTGGTTTGAATGCATCCCGATCTTGATCTTTTTCGAAAGTATCCTTTCGCTAATCTCCAACTTTCCCTCGGAACCGTCAGTGAGTCTCGAGCGAGGAAACATTTCTCGATCGTGAGGCGTACGGATGGCTTGAAGTTCCCATAGCGATTCGGAAAATAGTCTAATATCAATGTTCGGCGCTCGAGCACGTATTGAGAGCTACTTCGGATCGGAGAGCGGTTCAGTCACGGAGATTTCCCTGCAAGTCAATTCCGCTCAGTCTCTAGAGTGGAGCAGCATACTCGTGAGTCGAATGATTCTGAATTGCAGAGGGGATATCCAATCTCAATCTGTTGCGAGACAATTTTCCTCCGAAAGTGCGTGGATCCTCACTTACACCCTCTCCTGGGAAACTAGACTTCTCGGAACGCGTGTGGTCTTGACGGCGGCGGGACGCACTCGGAGACTGGCCGAAACTATGGTGACTTCAGGACTGCAGTTCATCATCCCTAAACTCCCATGGGAGCGAAACCTGACCCGCACACTGACCCAGCTGGGAGCCGGCTCCCCGATCGAGCAATATGGCCGGTGTTATCTAGCGAAAAAGCTCGAGGGGGCCATTGCCTAGTCTGCCATTATTCGAACGAGAATAATCGCTTGAGATAACTTGCCACTTGCCCCGAACCGAGTTCCAAACGGAAAAGATAGAATAGCGAATCAACCGCTGTGCGCGAAGGTCAGTGACTCGGTTGTTCCAACAAGTTGTCTTTTGAAGGATACGGTCGATCCCGTACAAGCTGGCAGAAAACTCACCTTGCTTGCTCTCGTAACTAAGCTACTTTCACTGAGCTTCAAGCCCGAAACAGCCTTTCATCGCTTTATAGTGGAGCCTGGAGTGTTTGTTAGAGAAACTCGAATAGAGAGGGTCTCCCAGATGGCAAGAGTGAAAATGTCGGAAAGCTCTCCGCCGCGCCCACTAATCAGCGGAACTCGGAGCGAGCAGTGATCACTCGCGAACACCGGGGCTCGCGAAACTCCGATTCCCGGAAGCTCTAGAACGATTTCGCGGAAGTCCGATGTGCGAATGCCCGGGAGGCCGGTGAACGATAAGTCGCTTCAGTATACATGTCCGCCTCTGTATCAGGGGGCGAATCTATGAAGTTCTAATGTGAGCATTAGGTCGAATGGTATCGCTATCAACGCGAAGAATCGGGCGGAATTCCGATGGGTCCTAGATGAGACGGGGTATTTCATCAATTTTTTGAGAATGAGTTTCCGCGCTAGGAATGAGAATGTCATATGAAAGCTTGCTCGACCTCGCGCCTCGCTGAATATTTGGAACTCCGAAGGTATCGTGATCCTGAGCTGACAATGATTGAAGATGATGAGCACCGGAATCAAGATATTCCGAACTTAAGAATCCAATCCGAATCCGCAGATTCCGAGGAGCAGATGGCATCCGGCGATCTGCTCCGGAGCGGGTTTCGATTCAATCGAGGGAAAAAGCGATCCCCGCTGTCTGCTCCGAGAGAGGAATCTCGCGGCGCGGCTTTCGAATATTTTGGCGATCAGAGAGCGATCACTATCTTTGAGGATTTTTGCGAGGATATGAGGGATGGAAGCGGAAGCGACTTTCTATCGCCCGCGCGGGTTCCTCTTCGATTGCTGGTTTGTCATACCTGATCTTTCAATGGAGCACGGTATTGGACGAATCTGCGGAAAATTATCCCCGTCATCCCCCATACTCCTGTTCGGAGAGGTTCGGACTTGAGACCCGAACCGCGATAAGATTTTGGCGAAAATCGATTCTTGGGTAGGTGGGCCAAGCCGCCAAGATCCGAGTCCCGGAATGTGTTCCACATGGTCAGGGCACTTCCTTCAGTCAGAATGCCGCACGATTCCCATGACGGTAATTCAGTACCCTTTCCAGGGAATTTCGCACTCGACCACACTGAGTCGCGACCCCGACTCGTGGAACGCAGCTCTCCTCCGGATGTCTTGAGGAGAGCCGGGGAGCATAGCGAAGGATTCCTATCTCGAGAATGAGAAGGAAGGGAATGCTCTTCACTCTTCACATACCGACCGTCGGTGTTCAAATCAGATCCTCTGCCTGACGAGCATCCGACCCCCAAGAGGTGTCAATGTTGCATACGAAAAACCGGCGCGGCGCGACGCATAAACAATCGTCTCTGCGTGCATGGAGGGATTTGCTATCATTCAGTAGTCATGTGTTCGACACCGATCAGATGACGTCATGGCGAGGGCGACTTTGCGAGAGAAGCGGTGTTCTCGAATCTAATTCCGAGACCGTTCGCAATTCACAGTACAAGAGCGACATCTTCGGAGGTGAGTTCTTCTTCCTTCCTCGATGATGTGCTTATGATAGAGCCTGCGGAGCGATCGAAGAGAGCCCGCACCAGCGCCGCGGGCTCCAAATCGAATGGAGATTGATACTGAGGGATATCAACTCGATTTTACGCATTCGATGCAAATAGAGACTTCGGTCCACCAGAGTGTCAGGGTATTGCAGATGGATGAGAAACCTTCGACTTCAAAATCTGGCGATGACTTCACCTTCCGCCGTCCACTGACTCCGGATGAGATTTTGCTGCCCATCACCGCTATTGGAAGTGAGTAATGAAAATATTGCTCTTCAACTCATTACCTGATCGGGGTAGCCCTCGTAGGTGGGACTGGGAGGAGTGAAATTAGGAACTTCCGTCGACTCGATCAACCGTGAGATCATGTTCACACGAGCGCATAACGTCGAGCCCGGCTCTCGTCCCACTATCATAATCATGACCATTCCAGAATCCGATGATGGAAAGAATGTTCCGCTCTCCTCCCTACCGGAAGACATCGACCCGGTAGTGAGACATATTCTGAGCCTCCAAAAATATTTCGACGATGTCTCCCAAACTCTCCAGGTAGGACCCCTGTAGGTCGTGGGGGGAAAGAAGTAAATTAATCAGTATTCCTCGACCATGTTCATTGATGGATCAAGAGTTCATTTTCTGACATAGAGGAGACCTTGCAGGAGTCTTCCGAAGGTGAGGAGGGGGAATGGGTACATCCCAGGGTACCCGAGGAACCCGTATCGCGAAACTGTACGCTACCGGGTCGAGGCCGCAAAATCTCTGAGTGAGTTTCATGAGATTCTCTGGGTTGGGTCCGAGCACGGCTTTCGAGGAGAGCACGCGGCGTTTGACATCTCGTCGAGGATAGGAAAAACGGACGCTTGTCGGAACGCTTATATTAATAGGTTTCTCCACAGCGATCTGCTCTGGGAGCTCGGTCAGAATTGCGTGAAAGTGATAGCTCAGATGGTGGGCTTCTCCTCCGCGGAGGTGGACGCGCTGAAAATGTTGGTCGGAGCCATGTTCGGTCTCATGTCGGAAATTTGTCATCAGTGGAGAGTTCGAATGGTCTGAGCAAAACATCATTATTCGTCACGGGATTTTATTAAGCGCAAGCCGCGGCGGGGACCCGATTGGTGCATCTGGAGCCAACCGCATGAATCGTTTTTAGGACTCAACCGATCGAGAGGAATGTCCTGGGGAAGACGAAGCCCTGAATCTGGCGCTCATGACGGCAGGTTTCCCCGACGGGATTGGAAGCGTTCTGAGTCATGTCAACTGGGTCCGCCGCGAGAGACAGCGATGGTTGGGCAAATGCATCGCAATGGCTTCGGGGTGAGTGACAATTTTTCCGGAGCTGGTCACGTTGCCCCGCGATCGCCATGCTGTTCGACCTCTGAAGACTAGAATGTTCTGTTGATAAAACTCTTACTCTGGAATAACTGATCATTGCCTTCGAAAAACCAGGAAGCGGAATCCTCACGGCGACAAAACATCAGAATCGTCCGGCGCTGCAAGCGCGTCGGACCCCAGCTCAGAGAAAGAACAGTTCTCAGCCTCCGGTTCCGCCATGGAATTTGAGTCAAGTAGAACAAGCTCGAAGTCACCCTCCGCGATGGACATCGGCTCGGGAAGGAGCTCTGCCATGGACACGGCGCCGCCGTCCCCATCGGATTCCGCTTTCCATCTCCCAGATCAGACGCAAGCCTCTGGACAGTCGAGCGCGGACGGTCGCGAGTACCTCGCTCGATGAGAAGGATGCTAGCTCGCACTGAAGCTTCTAAGAGATGCTGGGGAAACGGAGAGGACCGCCTCCTCGGGAACCGGCGCGAGAACATCCGGACAGGAATGGTGTACATCGGAGGCAAGGCTCTCGGATATCGCAAGGATTAGGAACCAATCAGCCGGAACTCGGCCGCGCGAGATAAGCTCCTAGTCATATGACGATATTTAAATCAGTGATCAGGACCAGTAATTCTGTAAATAGAGCAGAAGGCGCAATACATATCTCTACATCGCGAGGGGCCTATTGATGTCCCCCTGCCCCTGTCTCGTGGTTCTCTCCGCGTTTCTCATGAGTTTTTTGGCTTTCCTGGAACAAAAACTCATCATCAGAAGATTTAATCAAATTCGCCTAAGATATACACCTCAACACCAATCACATCCGCTCCTTCGGTGTGATCAGTGATCGGCCGTACGTACCCTTCAGATCCGTGGAAGTCCCTCAAGACGAGATTCAAGCGTAAATGTAGTAGCGAATTCGGACGAGTATACCGATTATAGCGGGGACTCCAATAGGGGGACTCCAAATCGGATACAATGCTCTTTCATGCTGAATCTGTGCGGAATATGGTTGAGGGAGAACCCTTCATAATCCTGATCTCCCCACTACATTCTGACTCCGGCGGAAAGCTATTTTCTGAGTCATCTGTGACACTGCGCTTGGGGTCGGGTCTCTTCGTGTCCAGTGATTGTAGCCGTTACCGTTTCCTCGGTGTAGCATTCTCCCGTTGCTTCGCTCGGCGCCGCGGCTCTGCTCTCGCAAGCTCCTGGTAGAAGAGTCAAGTCTTTGTCCTTCGTTGGAAATTCGATCACGGACAGTCGGCAGGATGCTGGAAAGCACCTGTATGCCGACCTTCGCTGTGTTCCAGCTGCGCTGAGGAGTCGGTGTCTATTGATAACTGGCTGGATGGATCGGGTTGAGTTGCTGCGATGTTTACACGTATTGGAATCTTTGTTCTATCCACGAGCGGAATCAGAGTATCACAATGCCTGGCTTATTCGTGAATTGAGTTAGAGGGCTGGGCTGGCCATCGCCGGGAGAACCTTGCAGAAATCGTTGTTCGTGTTCGTACAAGATTTAGAGCAGGCATTCCACCACAAGAGTGTTCCGGGGCCCGAGCAATCGGAAGAGAGACAGAGATCCTGGGGGAAATTAGGAGCTCCTCGCGCTGTAACCGTGCGCTACCAGCATACGACGAATTTGAGTATTCGCAGTGGGGGACCAGATCCGAGGCAGATAGCCCCCGAAGCGAAAACGTCTTGCTCTCCAAATGGGCGTATGGGTTGTCACGAATGGGTCGTACAATGTCATACAATGTCGTTTTTCATTCCATCAATTCAGTTGTATCTAAGTCGGGCGAACCGATTCAACTATCGTGCGGAAATCGCTCTCAAGCCGTCCATTGCAGAGCGATTTCGAAAATGAAGGCGATGATTGAGCCGAGAATCCCGATCGACCAGATGTAAGCGACGGCTTCGAAGTCGGTCAGACTCATGGAATCAAACTCTTTCGCGTCACCCCGGGAACAGCCACTCCAGACGCCAGCGATCTCTTCCCACCATTTATCCAACACCCCGCAGTCGGCCAGCCAATTGATTCTGTAAAGGAACGCTACGATGACTGATATCGAGACGGGGTCAGAGCTCTTCGCTATGACGCGCGAGAAATGAAGCACCTACCGATCGTTGATCCCTCTTCGAATGTCCTCGCGAAGGTCAAAACTCATGTGGAATACGGCGTTGAACGACAATACTGGGTTCTGACTGACGTAGAATTCTCCTCTCGGCATTTCTCTGCACTTCCCTTCCGCAGCTATAGCCTCCACCGGCCTTGACGTGATGACCGAAGCCTCTTCGCGGAGAATGAGTTCGAGCACCTTTTTGTTCAGAATCTCCTTCGCATTAACGTTGGTTTTCTCTCGAAGCATACGCCGATATATGGCCTGCACGTAGTCGGCCGAATGAGTCTGCATCGATATTATTTTTGAAATGAGCATGATTTCGTCGAACAAGATGCTGAGTCTCGAAGAGAGTCCCGAGTGCCGGCGGGAAACCTTCGAGCGCAACAATAAGCTCCGAGAAGCCGTGAATGGTCGGTACGAAGAGAGAAAACTAACCCTCAGAGCCTGTTCGCCAGCACTGTCTTTCGCCACATAGAGGGCATGCTTACTGCGATGCAGGTCGAGTAAAGTCTCGATGCGGGGTTTTCCGGGTTTGAACATGATCGACGCCTTCAATTGGCCCGCGAATACGCTCATCAAAATTAGCGAGACCGCCAAGAACCAGCTAATCCAAAGAATCCTGATGGAATCCCTGTTCGGAGGAGGATTCGTAGAACCTGGGAATTCCAATAGGACGGAATCGAATCTTTCCCTCAACGGAAGATAAATTCTCAAACGATACCGACTTTCCGACTCAACGTCATTCAGACCTTCATTCAAAGCGTTCCCGGCCAGAACGAAGATGTATGTTCCGAGTGCGTTCGACAGCGAAACTTTCACAACATCGGTGAACATTTCACATAATATAAAGTGGAAGAGGGACATGAGTAGAGCCATCACGAAGAGGCCCGAGATCAAAGCAAGCCACACGCTCCCCTGGAGGGCCAGAACGATTGCGAAGGGATTCTGCTCGAAAGTCGACAAACGTCCATTCATAAGCATAAGCTCGATTGGGTGCAGCGGGTACGTCTGTTCCGCGATCAGCATTTTCTCCGCTGTTGGATTCGTGGGACACAGCGTCATATCAGCTTCCTGGAAGGGAAAACTCGCCGACATTGATCGACGAGGGCCAGACAACGAGAATTCCGGATACGAGGAAGCTCGTTGGGACATACATATGTATTCCTATAGCTTCAAAGTAGAGTCTCCCAAGGAGGTACATGGTATCAAACCTTCTTTGGCAGTCGACTCGTGTACTTACTCCACGCTGAAGCTTCCCGAGCGCGCCACTCCAGGAGCCATTCTTCATCTCTAATCCCCAAGCACCAGATTCCACGATTTCATATCTAGAGAAGCGAGAAGCACAAAATGGTGATTCACAACACTCCACAAGCCCAGAAGCTTTGACTGATAGCTCTGACTGAGTATAACTTACTCCAAGGACATTGATTCGGATAGCGCTTGTATGAGATGTCCATTGAATCCTTGGATGGGAACATTTCTCCCAGGTCCTTCGAAAGTTTGGTAAGGATAATACTGGAAAGGTTGCAGAGCGTAGCTCGACGCCCCATGCAGACGAATCTTCCGGGAAACCGTTGCTTCATGTCATGGATACACGGAGGTGGACTGGACCACACGGTCAAATCCTGAAACTAGTCTCGGATTCCTCGACGGCTTCACTAGCCGGGAAAATTCTCACCTCGAAAGTGGCGACCCGAATAACTCCGGAGTAGTTCATGTTTCACCAAGAGAGGACCTCAACCACCGACCGGACGGAACAAGGCATGAACTCGATATTCCTGCCGGGGTTCGGGTACAATTGATATCGACAAGGCAAATAAACGATCATGAACGTGCGAGCTCCTTGTCTGCCAATGTATCTTAGATGAGCCAAATGGAGGGCTTATCGCGCGAATTATGCGAGCCGAACATTGTTTCATACATCGAGAGTTTTTTACTGTCGGATCGCAGAGCTCGATAGAGATCTACTGTACGAAATCTTGCAATATATCATCGCTGTTCGAGGCAAATGGCTCTAGCTTTCGGAAAAAAAACTTCCAGGTCCCCATCGTCGGAATTGGAGTCGGCGCTCGGGAGCCCGAGGCTCGAAACCCTCAGAGATACGGCCACTTCGTAAATTAGGGAAAAATAATTTTATTTACAATTATCGAGCATTCCGCTGAGGTCTCAGATGGCATTATCGTATATCCATTGACGGAACTGGGACACTCTCGTATAAACGGCTGGTATTCCTTTTTGGCCGCAGCCGTATCCCCACGATACGACGCCGATCAAGGTCCATTGTTTGTTCTCGTTCTCAACCATGAGGGGCCCGCCAGAATCACCCTGAGAAATCGGAAAGACAGCTTTAAGTAGACGGAAATCAATTGCTTCCGAAATTCGGCGAACAGTGAGTGCTCATCCGTTCAGAGAGAAGTCTCTCGAAGCGCAGGAATAGCGGAGCGTTCTTGGCGAAACCCACCTGGCAGGAGTCGTTACCGCCCTGATCTTTGAGTCCGGCGCAAAGGAATTCCCGGAGGACTGTGATGGTTGAGAGTTTTTCCTGACACTCCTTGTTGCTCCAAACCGGAATCCGGAGCTGCTTCAAAACGTTGGACGAACGTCCTGCGAAGGATGTAACCCCCCAGCCAATAACTGTCGCCACTTTCTCTGCGAAAGTTTCGTTGGGAGGCATGCAGACAGGAAGAAGGAACTGATTGAATTTGATCTGCAATGGGATGAGGAACTTATCAAGCTCCTCTGATATTTTCTCGCTGCTGCCGTAGTGGTGGCGGATGGGGAAGCAAGCGAGTTTGCAGTTGTACCCCCTCGAGGCCCGTCTAATGCATTTAGCCTCACTTCCTCATCGAGGACCTTGATTGATCAGCGAAAGTTATCGGTCGGTCTCGGGAATCGAGCCCGGGACCTCGCTCTCCTTCCAATCGGGTGGAGAGATGGCGCGGAAAATATGGGAATGATACTGCTCGTCTCGTTATAACTTACGTCTCTAGACACTTTGATGAGAGCGATGTCCGCGAAATTGTTATTAGATTCGTTGAAGGCGGGATGACGGACTATTCGTGACACAGAGAAATCCTGCCGCCGGCTGTTCTCTTTCTCATTGAAGTCGAACTCGCCGAGTCTTATCGTCAAATCTCGCGCCGAGATCCTGCATAGCGTAGAGACATCGCCTCAGCTTAAAATCAGTCCCACAGGAAATGCCGTGTGATAGCTCGGGTCGCGAATTCATCAGTCTCCCAGCATTTTTCTGTCTTTGGAGATGAATACCACCCCCTTACGAGCATCAAGCCTATCGGTCCGAGAAGGTCGTGAGAGAAACTCGGCCAAATCGGCGTCGCCGGCGAGCGGCCACACGTCACGTCGGTTGTGAGATCGTCGTTGTGCTTACCCTGGCAAGCAGTGTGCAGCCGTGACGATGTAGCGGTTGGTTATGATCACGCCACCACAGAATTGCTCAGTCTTATTCGACCGCTTGTCAACTTTCATGAGCGCGGCCTGAAACAGAAACTTTTTCCTCATCTGGAGAATTTTGTACGTGTATAAATATCACGCCGTGCTTTTCTGGCTAAGATACATGATTTATTGTCAAACATCGACGACTGCTAAATAACTGACGGAGAATAATTTCCATTGTTGGAATGAGACCATTTAGAATTGCCGAAACTGTCAACAACCCAATTTCGAAGCTTCTCCTTGTGAACTTACAACCCAAGACCATAGTTCGGCGTTAGCGACTTCTCCTCCTACGATCCGATTGTTGACGCTGAGACCACAGGCTGCGGGAGGATTAAGATGAGAGCATGAAGTCATGAGATGAAACCACAGATATAAGGGTAAATGGAGAAATTCGAAATTCGGAATGTCGGTTCCGAGGGTCACGAGTCACGCGGGACGACTCGCTAAGGGGCAGCTCAGCCGAATGGCTATCAGAGTTTATATCCGAAATCCACTTACTGACTGAATATTTCTGAACATGAGATCCAGGAGTAGTGGAATTGTCGGATGTTGTTTTCTTCGTCGGCTTCGCTGTTGTCGTTGACGTAGTCGGCCGAGGACGAGGTCTCTGCGTCGTGGGCTCGCGTGGGGTGTGTGGTCTCTCATCGATCGGCACAGAGGGCTCTGCGGGTGTTCGGTCGTTATTTGGAAACGTAATGCAAATTATCCCATTGCATGGCATCGGGAGTTACTCCCAGAATCCGAAGCCAGGGAGCGCTGGGGAGGGTTTTGTTTGACCTAGACATGGGGTACGCATCTACTGACAATTATTTGGATTGCCGAGCTCTTTCACAAATCCTCGATTTCCGGAACACGCGTGCAAGTCTGCAATTCCGTCTCGGTCTCTTCGCGAGACACAGTCTTGATGCGGGGATTCGAAGCGAAGCTAGCTGTTAGACGCACAGGTGCGAGCATGCACTGGCGAGTATCGAGCCCGCGACCTTACCCGTAGACCAGGACGACGAAGTCGACGTCCACACAATGTCTTCAGAGTGTTTACCGCTGTTACCACCCGGGGTGGAACCGCTCATACTCGTGGTTGTTTCCGGGTAGTAAGCAGCCCCTCTGATCGGAGCTGCCGGTTTCACCGTGCTAAAATAGTTACCCCCACCTGCGAAACTTCATGGTTTACTCTTTTCTCGCCTTCCTGAGGTTTGATCCCAGGAATTTCCGCTCGCTCAATTCTTGACTTGCGAGACGGCAAACGGGAACTCAGCGAATAGTCAATGTCAATTGAGTGCTCATAAGTACAGAAGAGAGCTCGGAGAATCTCTCTCTTTTTTTTTCCTATTATTTATCGAAATTATAATCGTCTCCATCTTGCATTCCGGAGATCAGAAAAGATGCTCCGGTAAATATCGCGACGGTCCCAGATATCTCAGGAGAACACAAGAGGAGCCGGGACGGGGTAAGACAAGACCGGCTGTACTGATGAGTAAGAATCCTCCGAGGCATCTCCCTGCAGGCCACATCCAAGGCTGAGTGTTAATCGCGTCTCGGAAGGCTCACGCCCGATCCCGGGCTAGGAGCCGTGAACTTCGGTCTCGGGACCCCACGGCAGCGGCCCTGACCTAGCTCAGAGGCTCCATGAAGTTTGAGCGCCCGGCCGCGAATATCGCGAAAGAGATCAGAGATCACGGTTCACGCCATGGAATCGCAGTCCCGCTTCGAGCATCCAGCTCTTTGGACAGGTGAGGAAGGAACCTCGAATCTTACTCCCCGCTGCGGCGACAGAACGATCAGCAAACTCGAAGAACTTTTCCCATCCACGTCGCGTATCTATCGATGATTTGATGCGGCGCGTCTTTCTTTTCAGAACTCTCACCGTTATTGGAGTTGGATTCGGAATTACTCTGTCCCCTAGCAGGAGGATGGAATTCACCGTGTTGAGGGGGTCCACCATTCTGGGGAGGTCCTCCACCGTGGGGGCCATCATGGGGAGGTCCTCCACCGTGGGGCCCACCATGGGGAGGTCCTCCTCCGTGGGGCCCACCATGGGGAGGTCCTCCACCGTGGGGCCCACCATGGGGAGGTCCTCCACTGTTGGGCCCACCGTTGTGGAGTTGGCCGTGGGGAGGTCCCCCGTGAGGAAAACCATCCGGAGGGGGACCACCGTGTTGAGGTCCGCCGTTGAACGTATCGGGGGGCGGTCGGAATGGCGGATGAGGGCGGCGGTCCGGGGGTCCGACAAAATCACTTTCCTGGGGTGGTCTATAGCCATCGGGTCCTGGAAACGGACCGGATGGATGAGAGAAGTACGACGTCCCCAACGGCGATGAAGATGGTTGCGGTCGTCCGTACGGTGCAGGCCGATGCGGTGAGTACGGGGGTGGGAAGAACTGAGCTGGGCTCTCGAGATAGCTTTGTGAAGACGCGAAAAAGTCGACAGGCACAGGCGTGTTAATCGTTCCGCTCCCCCCTGCCGATGAGGTTGATATGATCGCTTAAAAACGTGCCCACCATCACCCGCGTGATTGTTAGTTCGAGCTCATCCGTTCGGTTGGTACTTGCCAGGAGAGTCGGGCCCGTCGGGCTGACGCGGAGCGTCCGGTCTTTTCGGGTTGTTCGGTTTGTGCGGTTTCAGCAAACCTCCGACGGGGCTCAGGAGCGAGTCGACTAGGGATGGCCGTTTCGTTGTCGTACTTGGCGGCAGTTCGGAATCTTCGTTCTCTTCACTATTGGTGCTGAAATGTCGATCTGGGCAACAAACTCCGAGATGAGCCCCGCCGATGAAGCATGAGTACGAGAGCAGAATGTTTATGTTCTTCAAGAACGCAGGGAGGACGCAATGCTGAACATGTCTGTCGGAAGATAAGGGATCGATTGGAGAAATAACTTGTCGAGGAGCTCTCGTTCACGCGGGCAAATCCCTCTCATGGAATAGCAGATCACGCAATCTCACGGGATCTTTGAATTATGGGATGAGGTCGGCTCTATCGACTGCACTTCCCGTCCCGCCATCAGCATTTAAGTATATCATCAGACCGCCTCCGACTCCAAACAGACCTGCAGTGGCCGCGGTCGTATTTCGGGGTGATGCAAGCTTGGTACCGCCGCACTTTCTTCACGATCCCGCCGAGAATGGGAACCCCCTCGAAAGACGAGCTCCTCCGTCTATGGGACTCCAATTGTTGGAGGAAGCGTTGCACAACGTCGACATCCGTGATTGGCTCTCCATGATCTTCCGATTCCGCACCCGGAGGCAGTTGGACGTGCCGCTTCTCTGCGGGATCTTCCCTCCTCGTCCCCGCCGAGAAATCAAGACTGATGCCGATATTCAGGCCTGCAAGACGAATATTCGAACTCTGAGCAATCCGATTCTTCTCGTGACTCTCATCGACTTGCTCTCCGATCGGATTCGCTCACCAGGAGAAATTACGGCGAGCCGTCTCATTGGACCGACGATTGAAAAAAGAACCGATGAATACGAAAGGCTCTTTTCTCTCACTTCCAATCCAACAAACACTTCGATATGTTATCGATGAGCCTATTTCCACTCATTAGATCAAAATTGAGCTTGAAACAGGACTCACCGCCTCTCTTCCCACGGGCTTGGAAATCTCCTTGGCCATAGGTGATTCTTGTCGTACAGATGAGAACAAATGAGATATACAGGGAATTCTGCAAAAGGTACGAGTTTTTCCTGAGGTACGGCCCGTTAAGTTGTGAGGGTCCTCCGCCTCGTTATGACTCTTGAGAAGCAGGTATCATCGATATCCGATTCGAATTGAGCATAGGCGTACTCAATGTATGTACATTGATCCCATGCTGCGATCGGCTAATTAGAATTCAAATCTCTGAGTATGAATGCCGGAGCGAGATAGCTCCCGGGACCAACCACCTCCGATCCCATTGAACGTTTTTGCGCTAGATGACTCCTGTCGAAAAAAAACAGCTAGGAACCGTCATGGTACTGTCGTCAATCCTTCGAACAGTCTGGCCAAGGCTGTCATTTTCCACTCACAGGGCGCAACCGGACACCTCGCAACATTGTGGAGAGATAGACTCAACAATCAAAGACTCGCACGGAGTGAACGACTACAGCAACACCGAAAAACAACGATCACTGCCATAAGCAGGTGTTGGGGGAAGCTGGATATTCAAGCCTCAAGGATATGCATGTCGCCCGATCGATGCCGATCTGCTCGAACCTCCGCCCTCAGTGATCCTAGAATCGACTTCAGGAATAGGGTCCAATTCACGAGATGCTCCACCATTCGGGATTTCCCTAAAGAGGACAACATCGAGACGCCATCCCACCGTCGGTTGTCCATGAACATTGCGAGCTACTCCATCCGAGAAATTTTGTAAACGAGACGACTTATTGCCGAGTAACTTCTGGAAATCCCTATCGTTTGATGCGTCGCGACAAGTTTTCTCGCGTTTTCTCAGCGTTTTCCTTCAGGTACGCTTGAGCGAATCCAAGACGCGCTTGTGTGTGTATCGCTCAGCGGCTCTCGCGTTCTCTTCGGATGTTGTTTTCGTCAAAACATCGGCTCCGGCACAAACTTCAACGAAATCTCGATGCGAACAAACCGAATAGCTGATCGATTGGGCACCGATTTTTTGGGGCACAGCACGGAGATCCCACCAAATGCATGTCCACGTGACACATACAAGAACCGTGAAAAAGTCGTCCGTGTGCCCCGGTCACCTGATCCTGACACCGACCTGACATTCGAGCTCGATCGACATGGCGCACAACGACTCACCCAGTGCATATTTGAACTTCCACCAACTACGATTCCATAGCCGTGAAGATGAAGCAAGTACAGAAACTTGCTGACCAGAAGAATCTTCATCGGTTTTGGCACTGGAGAGAAGGATTCGCTCACATTCTTTCCCCGGTTATGTCATCGCAAGATCGTGGCGAAGCGCGATCGTCTGGAGAAAATTTCTCAATGTTACACTTCTCTCATTCACGACTTCTCGCAATCGAGGACCCTCCGCAGGAGAAACAGACGGAAACGGATCGGATCAACTCAACTGGGAAGTCGTGAATAGGGAGCAGCCGGAGCTGAGGGCGCTCGGAGTGGATTTCCGACCAGAGCAGGGTCGGAACTCGATGTCGACACTCCAAGGATGATCTCTACTTAATTTTCCTTGCATTCTAAAATGGGTGAGCCTTCTGAAGTTCAGAGCCTCCCGCGATAGAGGATGTAGTCGTCGATTTCAGTCTCTCCCTTCCCTCAGCTTGATATCGCTTGAGCCGCGAGGTTTACACCAATCGAAAGCTTAAGGTTCCTGTATGCCTGAATGGGTTCGCGAACGCGCCAAAAAAAGCTAAGATTCATCCCTGACTCGATTTCCCCCGTCTCCCGCTTCGATCACCATCACCATTGGTATCGAACGCGTCAACTATCTGCTCACCCTCTCCCTTCTGTTCAATAATCCCCAATAATCTAGACAGTCACGAGTAGAGTCACGCCGCAGCATCGCTCAACGAGGCGCCTGGTACGGTGGAGGAAAACTTTTGTGCTCGAGGATCACCAGAAGAAACTCGACCATCTGTGATGGATTTGTCACCGCTCTGGATCGTCACCGGATTCTGGTTCTTCGTGGGCTGCATTCTTCCGTGGGCGATCCCGATCAGTAACAACCGGAGTTTGATACAGACGATGTTGATACTAACCTCGATTTGCTGCTATATGTTTTGGCTTGGACCCTATCTGATGCAGATGAATCCTGTGATTGCCCCTGTCCTGGATGAGAAAAACTACTTCATAGCCTTCAGCCACTGGTACTACAAAGGCCCTCAACCGTGATCATCGAAACCACGACAAAGGCGTTCGACTTCTCGTGCGGAATCCGTGGTGTTGCTCAAGGAAAAAAGTTATTAGCTCGGAAACCGAATGAGCTGTCTAACAGAGTGCTGTTCCGACCGGGTGATCCGAGTCCCAGACGGACATTCCAGGACTATCTCGATTTTTGTCAAGCCGGACTTCATCGTGGCTCATGGAAGCACGTATCATCTTCTAAGTTATCGAATAAAAAACCGCGCTGGGGCGTGAGTCCGGGGTTTCCGTACAAAGTGCGCATTCTTCTTCATCTCATGGCTATATTTGCCGTCGATCCATACTTTCACCTGGAGAATCAAAGAAACGGAACGGATTCGACGCTGGGAACAACTCTCACGGAGAAAAACGCAAACGTTGACTTTTTCGACATGATCCGAATTCCTGAGCTCGGAAGGAAAACGGACGACGAGTCGGGCAAATTCTAGACACAGTCTTGGAAATTGACTCTTTGTTTGTGAAAAAGTTCCACTTTCTCAGCGCGAAAAAAAAGAGTTCCGTTCGTCAATGTCTATAAGAGCGGAGCGTCGACCCGCGTCGAAGCAGTGCAACGAGAATTCTTGCCGACGAGCGAGCGCTTGACAGCGTTTCCGAGAGCCCACTGCAAAGCCCCCTATGGCTTGTGTGAAAGCTCGAAGATCTCTGTTTGCCGTGGTGAGTGGTCTCAATCTCTTCCCCGCTTTCTCCGGGCTCGGATGAACATTCAAGTTATGTGGAACACTCGAGAACTTACAGGTGGCCTTCCCGCTCAGCCTAACCGCTCACCGCTCGCTGCTAACGACACTGCTTGCGCTACTTTTGCTTTGGGACTCCGCCGGAGCCGGTAAATTCCACGGCTACAAGAAGGTCTTCCATCGAGAAGAGCACGGCGACCACAAAACGTACTACGATGACTTGCATCACGGGAAATACAAGAAATCAGCGACCGATTCGCGGGAAATGTTCCGCAAAGAGAACAAGGAGGATCGTGAGAAGGCCTACGGACGAGTCAATCAGTCTGGCAAGGAAGAAACTGTTCTGAAGCCGATCGTAGTTGACAGTGAAGGTCGTCCCGTGCAGGAGTCGAACCCCAGAGATCTCCTCTGGAAGGAACCGAAAGCCTTCGATGTCCAATTCAGTTCCGCTTTTCAGAATTTCATGAAATCCTTGAACACTTCTTTCTGAAGCGGAGCGGTGCGCGAATCGATCTTCTCCATTAGAGTGAAAAACAGTCCGCTCATGTCGCGTTCGCAGTGTTCATAGGACAGACCCACGGTGTCAGAGTACGAGATCTGTGGAAAGTCCTCTAATGTTGTTGCACTATTGTTCTTCAGATAATTTTGCTTGGCATTCACATTGAGAACGCCCAGGGTTTGAATGTGAGTTCCTCAGTCTTGAAGCCAGGAAGGGGAGCGCCGATCTCCGTGAGGTCCTCTCCATTTCGGAAAATCGCCGGAGACTTGCTGGCGAGCGCTACGTACTCGAGTAGCCAATACCGTCAATTGGGACGTCAGGGAAATGGTGGGAGCGGTCGCGGAGGTTACTCCGAGCATGGGAGTCATGACAGAAGTGGTCACGGTCAAAGGTCCGGGGGCCGAGAGCACCAGAGAGGTCATCACGGACAGGGCGACAGGCGTCATCACGGAGGTTATGAAGCGAGCGGTCATCAAGGAGGTCGCCATCACCGAGGGCACCATGAGGCATCTGGACACCAGAACGGGGGAGGTGGCGGCAACGGACGGTACGACGAAGAAGGTGAACGGAGATTCGGACACCAAAACTCTTATAATCGAGCTGGGTCTCACGACCACGATCTCTTCCTCGATGACGCGTTCGACAATGAAAAGCATCACCGATCGAACAGCAGTCGCAGAGATTTCGGTCGGAAAGGAGGGAACGAAAGACACGGCAGATATCATCAGCAGAGGCAGGGAAAAGGAGCTAGTGGACGGGATAAACAATCTCGTGGGGGAGGGCGATACCAGAAAAGTCACGGTCAACACGGGAAAAGCGGTCACGAGCGCCGCACGGCCCATGGGGGGGAGCGAGAAGGACACAGAGACTACGAAAGAGGGCAACGCCACGCGACTGGGGGAAGCTCCTCGGGAGGAGGGAGGTACGATAGATCAAGCAGTAGAAGAAACTGAATAAAAGGAAACTCTCGATAGATTCCCTCCCCATTGACAAAAGCCTCCTTCCTTCGAATATAGGCATACAGTGTAGCTGTCAGAGCCCGGTGGAAAGAGAGAAAAAGAATCGTCAGCCGGTTCTTCCCCGAAAGAAAATCGGGGATTTCTTGTCACTTATCGACTGGAAGCTAGATCCCGGTTACCAGAGTTCCGGCGGGTTTTCCGCCCGAGTCGATTCTGCCGATCATAAGCGACCGGGGCGGCGATGTTCGTAGCTCATCTCATACCTGAGAACGGTAATCTGCCGCCCCCTCGCTCTGAAATCATCTTCCGTGAAATCAAACAGCTTTCGCTCTAGGCGAGAGATCGATCTCGGAGATAGCGAGCTCTTGTCATGATCATTTGGAACAATCATTTATTCAGTCGATGAAATGTCGGGGATCTATGGCCGTGGGTCGGGATCTCTCGCGGTTTCCGGGGAGAGCCTCAATCGAGACTTCCTAGTCTGACGTTACGGATGTTTTGCTCGGTTTCAGGTCCCCAATAGGTCTTGCGATGGGTTCCGTTGGATTTGGCGTTGTATTTGGCACGCTGAGGTTCTTTTCGATGGCGACCGGACCTTCCGGGAGAATGGGTTCGTCCCCATCCTCTGGGTAGACGACTCTCTGAAGGGCCAGGAACCAACAGGATTTCAAGCGACGACCTTCGTGAACGGAAACGGAACACAACAATGGCACCGGGGCTATCGATTGATTGGGATTGAACCCTGTTGAACTTTTCACCGTGGGAATCGCCCCCGACGGAGGCGTTGAGAGTGGCCCAGCCGGAGCCGGTGGCAGGAGCTGACGCTCGCAGCAGAGTAGCGGTACGTCACCGGCCTGCAATTGGGGCGGTCGTCTTCATGATTTTCGATCCATGCTTCTATTGTGGAATCCGTTTATGTCTCGACCGACAAGAGCTCATAAAACAATGACCCAATACTTCTTGACACTCACGTCGAAACCGCAGAGGAACTTGCTCAAGCGGTACAGGCTGACCCTTCTCAATTCCGGGCACGCTTCTATTGGTACGCAAACTCCGGGTTGACGGTAAGGAGTACTGCATGCGTAATGATCATCATGTGGGAAGGTGATGACACTCTCTGAGGGAGGAACACGGAATCGTAATCAACGAGTCCACATCCGAGGAACAAGGGAAACGATAAAAATCGAGTTATTCCTCGAGATGTTTGAGTACGTCGCGTCGTCGTAGAAAAAAATCCTGGTATCAAAGCATGACCCTTCAAACCGTCATATGATCTGCGTGACCCATGATGACGTCATATGAAATCCTAAGGAATTCCCTCAGAATCGATAAGGCGCTAACCTGGAGCGTATTCTGCCCAGAATCGTGGACTCACTTGAAATATGTGACCTGCGCAGTCGATACGCGTTGGTCAAGCATGCTAACACACACGCAGTCAGCAACACTCGATTCATGACTGATGGACGTGTGGTGTCTGAAGTCGACTGGGGAAGTCAGTCAACGCAGTTTTTCTGAGAGGGTTGCTCATCCAATGACCAGAAAATACACCCTTTCTCATTCTCGAAGCGGCGGCGTCTCCTCCAGCGATAAACTCTTTTGCAGGGAAAACAGTGGCTCCACTATCGGGAGTCGAGTCGGTTGTCGATCGGCGGACTTTGTCACGATGCATTTCCGCGATGTAGAGCGAGACCTTCAGCGATTCGAGAGCATCAACATGAGCTTCTTCTACAGGGACTGATGAGACCTGGCTGGCTGGCTGGATCGAGCGTGCCCGTCTGTCTCGTGAAGACTCGATGCCTCGACCCTTTCCGCCGTGCTCCATGCGTGTCGGCTTGTATTCATTCTCCAGAGGGCCTCCGGACTCAACGACCGACTCGTCAGCGACCGGAACGTATCCGAGCATCTGTGCGCCGGCCCAGGATCTGGATATAATCTGCGAGACTTCCCCATTTTCCCCGGCGGATAGCTCAAGTCATCAGAATACTACCACCAGAATTCATCTCGAACTCAGAAGCCTGCACGAAAACTGGAGCTCCCACACGTCGAGTTTCGCGAGTATCCGCAACTCGCTGAATTCGGTGTTTTCCACGCTCACCGAGGGATGATCACGACGACCTCTTTCCATATGTCTCAGCCAAATCAGAATCTAAATACAATAGGAGGGATTTCCTCGCCTCGACCCCGGCGGCGAGAGGCGCTTCCGCGAGTAGGTAGTGTCCGCAAGGAGAGCGCCTCAGACTTGAGTGCAGCTTATAACGCAGCTTTTTCTCAGTCAGCTCGTGCTCGACTGTGTTTTCCGACAGGGACAGCCTTCGAAATTTCATGACGTCATTTCCCGAGCAGAACATACAGTAAAACCCCGTTATAACGGACTCGGACATAACGGACAATCGCCTATAACGGACTAATTTTCGGGTCTCGGCCGAGCCTATGGGACCTCCCATATAAAGCTACTCGGATATAGCGGACCCGGATAACGGACTCTCGCCTGTAGCGGACGAATTCCCCGGCCCCAATCCTATCTCGTCCTGTGCAATTTGACTCGGTTATAACGGACCTGCTCGTACGGAGCGAAAATTCGGAGACCATCCTTTCTCGAGCCTCCTGCAACATTGCTCGTGGACGTGCGCGTCGCAGCGAGAGCCGAAGCGACATTCGCGTGGCCAACAGCTGCTGACTCAGCTGCTGCTGTTGCCGACGATGTCTTCAAAAGCGAAACGTCTGTGTCTCGATATCAAAACCAAACTTGAAATAATCGAAGAGATAACGAACGGTGTGAGTCAGGCAACAGTTTGCAGAAATCGTGGACTATCGGAGCAGTTTGTGACCACGATTTGGAAAAGTCGAGACAAGCTCTGAGACGCAAGTGACAGTTTAGTTCTTAGCCGGAGGAAGAAGATCATATGCAGAATGAGATTTTCTTCGTTATCAGACATGCATGCTTAATCGCTCACGAAGTCTGGAAATCGCTGCATTCGCAAGAGAACCCGGATATCCAGTAGCACCAGAGACGAGCCGGCGTCTCAAGAGTAATTCACGGGCTACAATGAGTTCCTTTAGGCTACTCGGGGATGATGCTCGGATATAGCGGACCTCGGCTATAACGGACCAATTTCGGCGGCCCCTTGAAGTCCGTTATAACGGGGTTTTACTGTACGTTTCGGAATATGACGTCGTATTTCGCGTCAACGACCTTTTATTATCTTCTTATGGAGTGGCCGCTTCATGTGCGAGGAGATTCGAATTATCTGATTCGCTACTCATGACGTTTCGGGAGCCGGACGCGGCTCCGATACCGTATTCTCGCTAACTGAGGAGCGCGTCAGCCAATCCAGACCTGCGGAATGGTTCTCGTCTGCTGGGACACCAAGTATATCGAGGGAGGACATGGCGGAAGAGCAGGCTATTGGCTGCTCACGAACAACCCAGGAACCGATCACGCCGATCGGTATATCAGGCTCTCGCTAGGAGCAGAGATTCCCGAAAGGAGTCCCAGAACCGCTTGATTCCCAGCACCTCATCCGAAGGTCGCGAGGGGTCTCCTCGATGAATGATGTTGTGATTCAATGGAGAAATTAGTAAGTTTTTTTTTCGCGGGATTCGACCAATCATGAGGCTACGTCAAGCATCCTTCGGAAGCAATAGGTAGCCCGAAAATGACATTCGGCGATGGGTCCCTGCGGACAGATTTGAGCATCCGGAGGAGGCTCCTATCTTTCTTCCTCCGAACAGCAAGCTCCTCAGTGCCAGTCATCCGCGAGGAGCTCCAGCCTGAATCATCGATGATTCGCAGATATTCACGGATAGAGACTCCGGGCGTCTCTTCCGACGGGTTCGGGGAGGACATACTCGGAGAGAACTATTCTGATTTTTGACTCCCTGCATGGGTCCGCGACATCACCCCGTCGAAGCGGAGAGGTCTCCGCCCCCCAAGGCCCTCGACCCGCCAATGTACAATTGATGAGCCTCGGATGATTTTGCTCGACTCAAGCTCATATATTTCTCATTCTCGAACGAATACATTCATGTATTGCTAATTCCTGATGATTTCCTCTGCTGCTTGCTCGGGGGCGAACAGTCCCCCGGTTTGTCGAGTAAAACCTTCGAATGGACACGTATAGGCAGCGATTTCGCGTTCGAGTTGCACCAACAAAGGGTCCCCGATAAAGGGACCGCGATTGAATATCACGAATCCCTCATAGTTTTCCCCCTCGTACCTGTCGCGGTGCCTCCCTATGAGTCTGTGAGGGCGAGTCCTCCCGAATTGCACCCTCTCGATCCTCAAACCGTTAGCAGGGGGGGTGTACAGAGCGAACGCTCTTATGTCTTCTTCTTTCACACCGGGCTTCGATACGAAGTAGGTGGCCCTTCTGACGTAACCATTTTCGATCGGGAGCATCTTGCGTGCTTTTTAGGATCCAAGGCTGCTATGAATGACTGTCCGCTTTCGTTGTTTGCGCTCCTCTGTGAGCCCCTCTCGCTTTTATTCTGTCCCGCGCGGGAGGTTGGGAGAACCCGGAGAGCGTATTTTACAGGGTTTCAGTCCCGAACGCTGTCTCGCAACGCAGAATTTCACCCGTAGAAGCGTCATGGGACCATCTCTAGGTCAGACTACGAACACGGTCAATAGTGAATTGCGGGGAATGACTTGCTTGCTTGTTCTAGATGATTTTTCGATGAAGCGCTTGGTCATCGGCTGAGGTTCAACTTATCTCTGGAGCGAATCGCGCGGACAGTCATGCTTGATATTCATCCTGTTCATCTTAAGTGGCGTGGATTGGCGCTCGGATCGATCCGAAACGAAATCGAATGAGGATGCTTGTCTTGTTTCCTCGATCGGGAATGCACGACTCGTCTTGAAAAGAAAGCGCTCCTCGTCTGAGTCAGTCTTCAGTCTTCATTCGTATTCAACGGTCAAGCTCTATATCTTCACGCGGATTCGCGGTCGCAGGTGTTATCTCATGCTACGCGCTATCGAAATCTCCTATCAGACTCGATTCAAGCATGTCCCCATCCCTAACGTTCTCCGATACCGGCAGACAGCATATTGATGCTACTTTCTTAGGGCCATTGATGAGCCTTCGCCGTTGATGCGCGAGGATCACATCAGACAGATATGTGCCTTGTGGAATTCCAAACTTGCTTTTCTAAACCCGACGTCGAAGACGGTCTCCTCTTCGCGTTGATTTGTCCTCACTCTGTGTCGAAAATCTCCTTTTTCGAAACTTATATTCATCAAAAGCAGAAAAAAATTCTCACGGGAGCTCCCCAAGCTCTTCTCTATCTATACGAGCAGTCGAGGTTAGGGGAGACGCTCATATATCACCAGCAATCAGCGTCGTCGCCCTCGATGCCCTCCTCAGGGTCCAAGGTACGCCAATTTTGGAAAACGTTTTCTCTCTTATTGAAGAATAAATCACCACATAACAGTTCCGCGGTATGATCCTCCGTAGGAGAGAAGGCAGTGTCCGATATTCTATATTCTATTAATATAAAAACGTATGTCTGTTTGTCTGTATGTCCGGGGTACCCTATAGACTCGAAAACGGCTGGACCGATCGTCGTGAAGATTTAGGAGCGTGTTCTGGGGGATCCAGCGGTGGTTTTAGGGGGGTCAGTCCTCCGATGCGATGAGTCCTTCTACCTTTAAAAAATTATTTGAGTGCTCCACCCACGGAAATACGAAAACTCGGGAAAAATTGAAAAATCCGAAATTCGCAAAATTCACAAACGCCTGAACCGATCGCCGCAGAAATTCAGAGGTGGGTTCCCGGGAGCCTCAGGAAGGTCATATGAGGGTCGTCGTTCTCATGTGATGGGTCGTTCCACCATAAAAAAATTATCTGAGTGGTCCTCTCACCGAGAATCTAAGATTTCGTCAAGGGAAAGACGGGAATTCTCAGGATTTCTTATCGGCTGGAACACTATGAGGAAGCGGATTCTCGGGGGCTCCTAAGAAGGCTATCGGGGGTTGCCGTCCCCATTGGCCTCTGCCTTTCTACTCTATCTCGCAGAAAATTGCTGTAGCCGTGAAGGGTATAGATTTTCCGATGGACATATGGAATAAAAGTGGGGAGACGGGAAACGGGAAAGCAGGGAAACGGGAAAGGGGGGAAACGGGAAAGGGATGAACGGCAAAGGCGGGAAACGGGAAAGGGGGGAAACGGGGAAGCGGGGAAACGGGAGCCAGCGCATGTGTAGTGAGTCTAGCGATACCGAGTCGCCGCGAAGCGGCGATCGGGAGCGCTAGTACATAATACAAAGCTGGAAAGTCAAGAGGCACTCCTTGATCAATTGGCGGATCTTCCTCCGGAGGTTGGGAGAAAGTAGACCGGCACTCCCTTCGATTAAACAGAGTTCGGTATAGCGATCAAGGCTGAGTACTCAAGGGGGAGATCCGGGGAGTGACCAGGCTGAGGACGAACGGAGTGTTCCATCCGGTTGTATGTAAAACGGCTCGGGTTCTGGACCAACCCGAGCTTCGGGAAGGCAGACTTGGCTACAGCCCGTGACGCTAGGAAAAAGAAACCTGTGGACTTGTGACCCGGAAGATCTGTAAAGCGTCGGCAGTTCAGACGGATGACACTGGATCGGGGTGAGTATGAGGGGCTTCGTGAGAGGGGAACCTCGAACTTCATCGGAAATCCTCCTCAGTTATCATCAACAGCCGTATTGACCGTTGAGACCTGAGCGAAAGTAGATCTCCGTCTCCGAGCGATCTCTTCGGCGGGGAGATGCCATTGGAAAACTGCGGAGGATATGAAAATCGTCATCATGATTACAGATAAGTTTATCGGGATGATATATGCACACAGGACTGACTGCATGGAGACTGATCCGAGAAGAATGGGCATCAAGACGAGACATCTGTGAGACGCGCAAAATTCACTTACTGCTGTCTTTCAAGCCTTTCCCGAAATTTCTATACAGTAAGTACGTCAGCACGAAAATCAGCATCCTCATGAGGACCGCGCTGCCTCCGCAGAGAAGGGTGAAACTGAACATTTCAGGGTTGGTCTTGGTTTTCGCGAGCTGGGGGAAAAAGATCGGCAGATCGTCAGCCATTTCTCATCGGATTCCTTGTGCCGCAACCCATGACCTCATAAACCTCGGTACCTTTGATCACTTGATCACCGAGGCATTCCCCGAACTTACGGTGACGTATGCGAAAACAGCGTAGATGAGGTTGGGAAAGGAAAGAATCACGAAGCCCAGGAGCATGTTTTTGCATTCTCTGCGAGCCGCAAAGCGGCCTACCATCGTCCACATGATCAGTATCAAGATTCCAGAGATGAGGATGAGTGCCTGGGTGAGGTTCGCGCTCTCGAAGCCTTGCCGCATCACGAGAATCAAGAAATTCAACTATGAAAGAGGAAGTCGGGCTTGAGATGCGTTATTATGCCTTCTCGAGAGAATGAGGAGCCGAAAACAGGTCTTGGACGAGTTCGACGAAATATAGCGGAGGCCTTACCTGTAGCTGCAAGTCGAAGGTGAGGGCGGAAAGGAACATGAATAAAACTTGGGCCATGGCTTGAGTCTCAGGATTTATCGAGCCTACGGCGAAGGTGATGAGTGTTTTGTGAGTCCAATATCTCCGCGCGAGGTACAATGACAGAGGCAAGAAGAGCGCAGAGAATACACTGGTAAATACTAGACGAGCCTGCGAGAAGGAATTCATGTCACCAAGCGGAACGGGTGTTTGGGTTCAATTTTGTGGATTCGTGGCCATACCCGCTCGACAAGAGTTCTTTGTCGACAAGTTGAGCTCTCGAATACTCGGGGAAAAACTCGATGGAGACTCCACGAAGAATGACCGGAGGAGTCAATTATCCGACCAAGGGTGCGAATATGATCTTTGCAGAAACTCACAAGCTTCATCTCATCGATTTTACCGCCGTGTCGTGCCCGGCTGTTGACGAAATTGATCACGACGTAGCCGAGAACGATCCCGTTGGTGATGCAAAGCGCAATCATTTCGTGGGGTTGCTCCTGGTGAACGCCGGTCGTGACGTAGAAAAAGCTGAAAACTAGAGGAGACATTATTGACTCTGTTGACCTCTGTCCATACACATACATTACATTCCTTCGAAAGTAAGTTTCTCGATCGCATCGAGCGCTCTACGAAGTTGAACTCTCTCATTCACTCACGGGCTGCGATGATGAGAATCGCTCCATAGGTCGTTGTATCCGGATTCCCAGAGGTAGAAGTAGCGAGTTTATAGAATGTCAAGCCGAGACTCAGAAGAAGCGCGATGTACCAAGCGCCCAGGAAAGCTTTCTCCAGGGTCGTGATTCGACTGTAGTTTTTCCACTGGAAGAAGCATCAGTTGAAAAGGAACCGACGGCTCAATCAACTCCGAGGACATTTCGAAAGTAACGGGGGAACCCTCAGAGGGCTCGGACTGGGGGCTCGAGGCGGCATCGATATCCGTCTCAGATTTGAACTGACGTTCTCCACCTGACCCCTGTTTATTGGGTGACAATCAAGGATACCGGTATGCAATGATTGCTGCTTTATCGTTTGAGGAACGGATCATACTCACTGGTCCGAACCTTGTGTACTCCAGGATTCGGTCGGGCTTCACGAAGCCCTCGATCTGGCTGAAGGATGAGATGGATGCCGAGTCCGAGGACGGCGGACCTCCCGGTCGCATGATATCTGATGGGCCATCCATGAAAATCGCTGAAAGCGGAGACTTTGATGAGTAAGTACTATGAGTAACTTTTCCACGTTCCGCTTCGCCGTGACATTGTTCTCATTTGCAGTCGAGATCGCAATGGCATCACTTCTTATTTAGACCGTAAGGCATTCATCGAGAGCCATTGGAGATAGGGAGCTCTTCCGAGAACTATAGCGCGAGACATCCCCTGTGAGTGGACTTCCCCGGATACAGATATCAAAGACACATCGCCACGATCGACCATTTTTGAAGTGCTTAGGCCTCATCGGTTCTTGGTGATCAACTTCGGACAGCGATTCAAGGAGGCTCGGTGACTGGAGTCAGTCGTCCGCGTCCCTCAAGCCAGGGCGGCGCTTGTTGAAGGAAGAAAATCACCTCCGAGACTGACTCTGTCAGCGGACGGAGATACGTTCGGGTACAAATCAGCGGTTTCTAAGGAGAGGTCTCAGAGAGATTTGGCTAAATGAATGAGAGATGATAAATAAGAGAAGGCCTCTCGACCACGCCGCGTATCCGAGGCGGGAAGCGACACCGGATCGGCTAGGCACAAGAGTGGGAACACCAGAACGGGGGAGACAAAAATTTTGAATCCGTCCCCTCTCCGACGGAGGCATACTTGGTCTAGACGCGCATTCGGAATGCCAACGTCCGTCGGAGAGAGACGCAGGATAGAGCGAAGAAGCGTTCCATGATATGTATCTTCAGAGAGTCTAAGGGTGAACTCGGAGCAAACTAGAACTAGTCCGAATTCGAATTCCGGATCCTAGCGCGGGCGTCCAGAATCAGTTTTCTCATTGTTCGAATTCGAGATCAGGGCAAAGTTCCAGGGACGGCGCGCCGGCCTGAATCACTCCATCGAGTCTCCCGTTAGGTCTCGCAAGCTCTTTTTTACCCTCGAGTGCCCATAAAATAAAAACGCGCTCAGAAAACTTCCATTTTGGCTGGGGAAGTTCTCGCCGCAGCTGTCCCCGGGAACATCTGCCACGATTCGCGCTTGAGTCCAGTGTGACGCATGCCACTCACATTCGGTGAATTCACGGTCATATGCTGACCGAAACAGAATCTACGATGGGCTCCCGGTGGAGCTTTTTCGCTCTCGGACTTTTATTTTCTGAAAGAGACGAACGTGATCCACCCACCTGATCGCTTGACAAGGATCCACAGGCTCCTATGATTCGCGGGACTCGACACTCCCAGGCAGGATGTGCACAATATCTCAAGCCGCTAAATCCTTTTGGATATCGGAGCGAATTTCGAGTGACTACGCGTTGAGTCCAATTCGTCTGCACCGAATCAGCTCAGCGCGCCTGTCCTTTCACAATTGCCCGTCTAGCATGCCAGACCCTTGACTCACACGGTTTCACTGCAGGACGATGCTGCTTGCGATCGTGTTTCGCTGGCTGGGTATGCACAAGAAGAATTTTATCGCATCGGGATTGCTCAAACTCTCGAGGGTTGGCCCCCTTCCGGAAACCGAGATGCGAATTTTCCATTTAGGTCAATCCCTGAACTAGATATGCCGCACGGGGAGCGAGCCCTGGAATTTAGCAGCGTCGAGGTGTTGCTTCGCCCATGTTTCCTTACAGAATGGTCCTCTCAGCCTGAACTCGGCGGCGGAGCGTTCTATCTCGCTGGCGACTTATAAGAAAATCGGAACCCAGGAGTCTCTGGAGCCCTTCAGGTGAGGCACTACTGATTCTCGCGCACGGGGACTCGGAATTTCCGGGTTCCGAGCTTACGTCATTCTTCACTAGTGGAATCCGATCGAATCGGACTGCCTGGCTGACGGGAATAAGCCGATCCGGCCTCTATATCTGAAGCCGGAGGCTGGCACTCGATAATTCATGGAGTTCGGGGCAATCGAGGCGAGTACTCTAAATTGGCGTTCGAAAGAAAACTCGCGATAGGCTTCAAAGTCTGCGTCCTTCGGAAAACATCTCATTTCCTATTCGATCAAGCGGTGGGAGCCCACAAACTCGATGACTCAGGTCTACAGTGACTTTCTGATTAGAGAGCTGGCAGTAAACTGTGATTCAAAAGTCCGGAGTCATTCGGACTCAATATGAGCGATGAGATGATGGGATTGAGATGCTTCTCGACGCGGGCGATACAGAGGATCGTCATGCCAGATAAGGTGACTCGGGAACGCTCTCCTTCACGGGTGAGATGCGGGCAGGCATCCGCGGCCACACACATGTCTCTAGGTTCCAGATTTTTTTTCTGCGCGTGCGATCGAGGATATGATTGTCTGCTTGTTCCCCGGTGAATCGAGGATTTCCTCCGATCGAGCGCGGGGCTCGGTTCAGAGGAGCTCCTGTGAGCTATCTCTAGCTTCCACGATCATTCAAATACAAGCTCATTCAGACTAAATATACGGTCGTCTCGGGTAAGATCGTCGACAATCTCGAAAGACAATAGCGTTTATTCCACTTCGTCTCTTCTGCACTTTCCTCATCGCTTTATTGTTTTCCCATGTTGATAACGAATCCTGAAAAAAACAACAGGAATTCTCCCGAGAAAAGGAGAAACATCTCATTGGGAACGGAATTAATTCACATTTGATTAGCAGCTTTTGCGCTGTCTCGAAAGCGGAGGGAGAGAAATGTGGTTAGGATCTATCCGTGTAAGGGCTGAAGCATAGACGGCCAGAGTCAGCTAGGAGGACGATGAGCAAGAAAAAAAGCGAGAAAACTCGCCGAAGCAAAAAAAATAGGTGAGTCTAGTGTGTTGACCCCTTTCACGGGGAACGGCTCTTCGGATAGCGCCATTCGACGGATATACGATTGCAGTCGCTCGAAAAGAAAAACCAAGTCTCGTCCGCGATCGTATTCGGACGACTCCACGTCCAGCGCCTCGGTCGAGATATTGACGCAACAAACTAGGAGGCTTATAAATGCCGTGAAGGACACTGTTCTACCTCTCCTGAGAGTGGGATCATCGGATGAAGACGATGCCAGGATCGGCAAGAACCGGGTTCTATTCGCTTTGAACCGAGCTGCAGAACAGGCATTCAAACGCAGATCAGTATTCGGGACCTTGAAGCAATTACAGGCTGAGGCTCGACAAGCTGAGGTCATCGTTTCGGACATCTTGAAAGAAGAGAAGTCCCATGAAGCCAGTGATCCCAGAGAGTCATTGATGGCGCCGAAATGTGCGCTGTGCGGAGCTACCTGTGAAAAATGTGTATGTTCCAATGCGCTCTCTGATATTTGAACACGAAGACATGATACACCTTCCGCTGGAAATCGTGACTAAGTCGAAATCTTTCAAAATCGATGCAGAGAAATAGACGCGCGGAGGAGACTCCAAATCTTATCTACACTGGGGTCGTTTGACTTTGCAGACCCTTGCTGCTACGACGAAGAGAGGTAAAGGAGAGCTCGAAAGTGATTCTCAACCCCGAGGTATATCTTGGGGTACAGACAGTGTGATGGATTTCGAACCGTCGGAAGGCGAAGTCCCCGGTGCCGGTTTTTACCCCGATCCGGATTCGGACTCGGACTCCGACGAAGAGAGCGTTGATTCAAGATGTGAGTTTCCTTCCCCTCAGCGGAATCGCATATGTATACTTGATTTTGGCATCCGAGGAACTCAGTGAGCTCTTCTCCAGATGACAATAGAGCGCCGTCTGCGGGGAAACGCGCAAAGACGAGGAAAGATTCAGAAAAACATAAACCCAAATCTCCGAGACGATGATTGAAACGGATGTCTTGGAATCATAGCTCCGGATGTGGGCTCCATTCGGACTGGTTTGGTCCGTCAGCGAATAAATGTTTGGAATTGCTTCGTGAACTCCCCTCAGGGACACTTGTAGACATAATAATGGATGGTGGTTTTGCAAAGCTCGAGGTCTACTCGCGATCGCACCCCCCTTGTCGGAAGCGAATGAGCTTGGCGTAGCACATATTAACTCCGGGTAGATACATATTATTCTGTTATTCATCAATAGAATTTACGATCTACACTTCGTCGAATACACGAGCAATGAATTGTATGATCGAAATATACGATACCGGTTTTCTTATCCACCGACAAATGGTCTACTCCATCGACAGCTTCATTGTGGCCAACATCCCCGAAACGCTGCGTCAGTCGACTAGTTCGCATCTTAACCCACTCAGACATTGGAATGCTACAAGATCGAGGCCCATTCCGGCTGAGTTCACTGAGCTGACATTGGACAGGGTTATCGTTCCTTTGAGCGATGCAGAAATACAAAGCTTTTCACAAGATGCAAAAGGTGCAAATCTGTGGACAGTTCCTCGATCGACCTCCGCAGGCACGGAGTCTGTCTGACACCCATGACCCATGACTCTCATTCAGACACTTCCATCGAGGAAAACAACGCAGTTTCAAGGCGAATCCTCATAAGTTGCTCTCGAAGGTTAGCCCAATTTTTTCCTCCCTCTACCATCCGAATCGATCGGATCGTGGAGCGTTGCGAGCGACAGATTCTTCGAAGAAATGTATGACGCTCACGATGATTCATTCTCAACTCCTGACTGCGGAATCGCCAGTCAGCTGTCCGCGACTAGGAGAACTCACCGGTCAGCTTTAGTCATAATCATTCTCCAGGTTAGATACCTTGATGCTCGATGCCAGCATCAGAAAGCTCTGACTCCCGTCGGAGTTCTCGTGCTAGAGTAAGAAACGCTCAAGATGTCGATCGGCGTACACAGGACTGGCCGGAGTCTTGTCAGAGAAAGCTGATATCGAAAATCGCATCTGTACCAAGCAGTAAGTCGACCGACACCGGCAAAAAATTCGCGCAAGGAGTCGGAAGCGATCTGAGAGAAGATCTCTTCTCGTCGCTCCTTCCCCAGGCGCCTTTTCGGAGCCTACGTCGACGAAGGGGAAGGGAAGCGCGGGCAAAGATTTCGAGAACTCTTACGTCACTCATATGCGTCGCGCTCCTCCAGAATGCTGCCGCGGTGGTGGCCAGCTCGGCACGGAGAAACCGGATAAAGCGAGAGGTCTCGCTGAAGGCATGGACGACGGAGGTAGAAGGGGGGGAGGCTTCGGAGACTTGGTCCCCTTGAACGTGACTCAAATACACAAAGATCCAAAGCTTCCACGGAGCTGGACCGTATTCGTCGTCGACGAGTCACCGCTCTACTATAATCAGGACACCCAAGTATTCCAATGGAAGAGACCGGAGGATTGTGGTGCTGACGGCCAACACAAAGACTCTCCGATGGGGATAAGCGATTTCTTTGAGATCATCGGCTGGTTGAAGTGTAAAGACGATCGGAACCGGACCTATTTCTATCATCCAGAGACTCAGGCTCGGAGTTGGGTGAAGCCGACAGTACAGCAGCTTTGCGATTGGCATCGATGGCAGGTGAGTTGGATGGACTGCCCCAGCACCGTCTAGATCTCCGATCAGTTATTCTATCATTATTTTAGAATTTTTTTCATAATAACAATGATCATCATTCTCCAATATTCCTTCGCAGAACACGCGATATCAGTCGATGCGACTCAGCCAAATGAGGAAACCGTGCAACCAACCCGTGACCCCGAGCGACGAAGATGGCCTCGGAGCACTTCCCGACGGGTGGGAGAAACGTCGGGACTTGCAAGGCGCAGATTATTTTGTCAATGTGAGGAACGGTGAATGCTCCTCGACGGATCCCCGAAGGCCTCGGGGCACAGTACCGGCTCTTGCGAAGGATGATGCGAAGACGACAGCGCAAAGTTTAGCGCTCGTGGTAGAGAAAGAGGAAAAAGTTGCGAGCGATGATGACTTGAGGCGAAAGATGGCGAGATTGAGATCACTCTGCTACTGCAAGTCGACACAAGAGCTTTGCGAGGTCCGTATAGTGACCATGATAAGGAAAATTATTTTCCCGGATCGCCTGTCTAACCATTCATGACCGACTGAATGACAGAGGCCTTCTTCCGCAGGTCAAGGTTAAGCGATCAGAGATTTTCGAGACTTCATTCGGCACAATTTACGACAAGTCCGTGAAAGAGCTTCGCGGTAAACTCAGCGTGACATTCGAGGCAAGAGAGTTTCCGCTTATTTCTTCGATGAAGATTTCTTGCGCCCGGATTTCCCTTGGTTCATCTGGAAAAATATTCTGTCGCGCAGGATGAACCTGCCATGGATCCTGTCGCTTCCATCCGGGACTGGTTCATACTCCTGACGCAGGAAATCCTGAACCCCATGTACGGACTCTTCAAATACGCGGATGTTTCCCAATCAACATTCCGGATCAATCCTGAGAGCTCGAAGCTGCCTCATTTCCGAATCTACTACAGGTTTGTTGGTGCGTCTCAAACCGCGGCAGATAATACGGGATCATCCATCACAGGGTCGTGAAGTTCCGGCGGAGATTCAGCCTGGATCGATTTTCTTTCGACAGGTCGCGTCTTCGGACTTGCACTGTTCCATGAGAAACTGATTTTCTCGGGCTTCAACACGGTGTTCTTCAAGAAGATTCTGGGCCTGAGACTAGAGCTGGAAGACATGGAGGCAATTGATCCACAACTATACGATTTGCTCGTGTACGTCCGTGAAAATAATGTGGAGGACTTGGATCTATATTTCGCGGTAGATTATGTTGAAAAGGGGAAGTTCGTCCAACACGAACTCAAACTCGATGGCAAACACATCAAAGTTTGCGAGGCAAACAAATTCGAGTACCTGACCCTTATGATGGAATGGTTCTCTTCCGACGATGCCGAACAAAGCAAAGCGATACTCTATGGGTGGGTGACGCTCCTCTTGGATATCGGGCATGAACACCGAAAAAGGTCACGATCTGAACTCCCGATTACCCTCCCCCCAGGTTCGACGAAGTTTTTCCATGCGAGTGGCTCGGTGTCCCAGACGAACGTGACTTGGAGATGCTGCTATGCGGTGTTCAGGAAGTCGACATTGACGACTGGGAGCGGAATACCGACTACAAAGGATATGGTCCGCAAGCCGAACCGGTTCGCTGGTTTTGGGCAACTGTTCGCGGCTTCGATACGAGATCTCTCATTCGTTTCCTGCAATTCGTCACGGGAACGTGTCGGGTTCCTCTCGGCGGGTTCGCAGCTTTGCAAGGTCCGTCTAGCGAATTTACGGGGTCGCAAACTGTCTGGATGATCGGGCAGCGAAGGAGAAAAATACAATGAGCATGAATATAAGGACATATCAGGGAATATCTCCGTATAGCCGTCCAAACTCATGCTCAGCTGACTGAGATTTGACCGTTTTTCAGGCGCTTACGGTCCGCAGAAATTCACCATCGAGCGCGCAGACGATATCAACCGTTTGCCGCGGAGTCGAAAAAGCCTGAATCAGATTCAACTCCCTCCATACAGGTCTTTGGTCGAAATGAAGTCCATGCTCCTGCTTACTGTTGGGACTTCGACGTGATTGGCATAAATCGGAGTTTTGGGATGTCGTTCACTCAGCAATGTCTTCCCCTCTCAACCTCTTCTATCGAGGTCGTACGGCGAAGGCAGTTAGCTCCTGGGAGATCCGGCTGCCCGTACGACTTGTCATCCTCGTGTTGTGTGCCTGGGAGCGAGCTTCAGAATTCAAGAAGTTTTCCATCGATAGTTTTCAATACGAACGGTCCTGTTCGGTTTCGTGAACTGGAGGAACAAGCACTCCGGTACATTCTAAATTCATCCGCGTCTTCGAGGCTGATCATCTCAAAATCGTTATTTTGAAGTTGTTTCTATGACGGATTATTCGAGAATTCCTAATGTGTATCTGCGTCTGACTTCCCCTTGGAATAGCTTTACGGTGCGAAATTCTGTATTATTTGATTCTTGAGCCCGCTCGATGCTGGTTCAAGTGACAGGCTCGCAGCACAATGTCAGTTTGTTCGAGGCGGGAGGCTTATCGTCATCCGATTTCTACGCATTCTACATCCACCCAGCGAGCTCCTTCTGCGGCGCGGTCCGCCGGATCATAAGTTCTCAAATCGCAGACACCGGTGGACAACGAGGGTCCATCTTTTCGTCGGTTTGCAGGCATTGCGTGTGAGACAACAGGGCGAGAACGAGGGGAAATCTTCTCATGGCCTTAATTGTGAGTCGGCATGGCTCGGGCCTCTCTTCGAATAAATTGAAGGTTTTTTTTTACTGTTCTCGGTACCTGATTTGAGAATTTTGAATAAGTCTCTCTCAGTAGCTGGAACGAGAAATCGAGTATTGCCCCGTGGAACAGGAAAATTCAGTTGATCTTTCGATCAGGGACCGGAGCGGTAATTGGTCATGGAAAACAGCTGACCTCAGAGAACATCTGAGCGATTTTTTTCCTCTTGCACAGGCGCGGAGAGGGCGCGTCATCATTCGAGAATCCCAAGCCATTCAGCTTTTCACTCTTCTGCTGTCTTGGTGGTCATCTACCGCGGACAGATGCGATCACTCCGCTTTTCGTCTAACCATTCGGAATCTCTGGCGATTCGAATCCGCTCTGTGATCCCCGCGTCCATGCTCGATGGAAATCGTTTTCCTTGGCAACCTCGGGTCTTTCGTGTGGTGCCGTCCCTAAACATGCACATTCGGACATAGAATCTTTCAATGCTCCCTCATGGCTCACGACATCTTTCGCTGGAAGAAGTCACGGAAAACTTTCACTCGACATCATCGACATTCCGAATCGATTCGCTCGCAACGCGCGGAATCGTAACCCCCAATGTACCAGCAGCCTCGTGAACGGGATCCTCTCAAGTGGACGTACTCTGGGCGAGGCGAACGAAGATATATTCCAGGAGCCACGGGCATTCAATGAAATCACATGAGGGCTCTGGGTCGTCGCCGAGAGTGCTCTTGGAGGGATCGTAACGGACTCCCCAATGGGAACATGTGTGCTGACAGCTCTCAACTCCGTTCCTCGGTCAGGGCATGGCATCATCAGGATCCATGTCGTATCGCAGAATACGGATGGGAGGTTCTAGGGGAGCTGGGTTCGAGAGAGGGCCCCGAATTCCGCTCGAGAAAATCACGGAGTTCTTCATGATGAGCATGTCATGCGATTCTGAACGAGGGAGAAAAACAAGGCGTCCAGAGATTCTATCGCCCTGTGGAGAAGATTGCAAATGTGGATTGGTGAAAACAAGGCCCCGAAGAGACGTAAAATTGCGTGGATGAGCGACCGAATGCGGGATTACATGCAATACGTGCACCTGCTGTACGAGCATTCGCATCCGCGATAGGAATCCCGCTCTTGGATCCACCCTCCAGCTGCAGCGGCATCCCTTCTCCGGCCCCCTGCTTCCGATCACGAGAGAGAAGAGCCAACAAGGTTTTCACAAAGATAACTGTATTGAGAGATTCCACGACATCTGATAAGTTTTCGGGGGAAAATTAGGTACTGTGCTGGATGACCTCTGGAGAAGTCTTCGCTAGCGTCATAAGTGCGTTGTATACAGGGCTCCCACAAAAGTAACTCGAGCTGATCGTATGCACATTTTATACATGTCCGACGATGGACAACGAATCGTCGCGCAATAACAAAGGGGAGGGAACCATGGCCCCCGGAGACGATTCAGGGGGACCTGTCCCTTACAGACGGAATAAATTGTTGAAGTTCTCCGTTAGCGAACAGTCCAGCTTCAAGCTCTCTGCGACCGCATCGAATTCCACACCGACGAGTTTCCCTACGATGTCGAACCAGGATCCGACTTGTTCTTTCTGCAATGGATCGGGAGCACATCAATGGACCTCATGAGGAGAACCCGAGTGGCTCACAGGAAGGGGAAGGCGCCAATATATTCTACAGTCGAATCCGTCCGCCCTGAACACGAGAACGGCTCTATGAGACTCACTTGGATCGGTCTCCCAAGCAGATGGGCGGCTATGATTTTTTTCAACACGAATTTGTAGCGCACAACCGCCTTGACCCAAAACCGCATCGCACTTTCCCCGGAGATTCCGAAGAAATTCCCTATTTCTTTCCACCGAGCGTATCGTATCTCGGACTTCGCAAAAAGTGGGTCCGTGGGATCGAAGAGATATCTTGACTGCTCCACATAGTCTACGAGAACCGCAACGTTCAACTTCTGGACGGGCACTTTCCCGCCGCGCTGAGTCATAATCTCTCATCAAGCTCGGCAGTTGAAATCAATTCACCCACATGGGCTCTGACAGGTCGACGACGTTCTGTTTTCGAGTCTGTTTACTCCCTGTCGGTTTGAATTTTGGCGCCTTTCCGCCTAATTATCGAACGAGGCTCTTGTGCACGCTTAGAAATAATGAATCGTTCAATGGATAGCACTGAGCGCATGTTCACCGACGATTAAAGTGGAAATAGATGGTTTCCCAGCGAACGCTTCCCCTCCAACAGGCTGAAGAATTTGGACCAAGCTTCAGCAACCGAAGAACGATTCCTGGGGAGAGGAAACGTTCCCACGACGCCTCTCAGCGCGACCGCCTTCCCCCCTGCTAGAAACTTCTACAGAGAACTGTGCGCGCTTCGGAAGAGTTGTCGTTCGCGAGACTTCGACTGATTCGATAAGTAGATCACGAAGGGTCAGGCCCCTGGAAAATGCCCGTCAAAATCGAGGAGGTTGGTCAACGCAGAGTGAACATATTGATTTTTCGATCCGAGAACATTCGGATTCTGAGTGATATTTGCTTCGGCAGGTTCAGTTTCCCGTGCTTCACGGGAATAGATTGACTTTTTATTTTTGGACCGGTGATCCGCTTGCCAAAGAATACTATGGTGCATGTAGGAGGACCCTTCGAGTGTTCGCCGATTGAAGATTCGCCCTCTTATTCCAGCTGAAAGCTGACATCGCGGAGCTGCGCAACTTGTTAGAGACCGCTAGCCGCGCCAAAGTCAGAGATGTACTCAGCACCGAGCTACGGAAAATGGAAACGATCCTGATCTCATTGAAAGAGGCCGCGGACAAAAACCCTCCCTCTGCCAGTGCTTCGGCGTCGAGCAACCCACCGAAAACTTCGGCTGTCATTCCCACTGAGAAGCTTCGAGACTACGGTGAGTAGAACGTCACTACCCTTACCAGGACGAGGGCGCCGGAAATTCACCTATTGAAAATACGGCCGAACACCAGCATCGGGCAAAGAAAGGAATATTCGGGTCTTTTTCGATTGCCCCTGTATCCATCACGTTTCGTTCTCCTTTCAGCTTGGGATCAATCGGACAAATTCGTCAAATTCTATTTGACCGTCCCCGGTGTCCAGAACTTGGACGCGAACCTGATCGCTTTGACCGTGACCGAGACTGGCTGCTCGCTCACGATCTCTGCTCCCGACAAGACCAGAATTTTCAGCATTGAGAAACTCCTCGAGAACGTGGTCGTAGAGGAGTCACACCACAAAGTGAAAACGGACAGTATCGTGATTCTCCTCAAGAAAAAGAAGAGCGGCAATTGGCCGTTCATCACCAAGACCGAAAAGAACATCAAAGAGGCTCGCGACGCCAAATTCAAGCCCGAGATAGAATCGGATGATCCGTCGAAGGGCCTGATGAGCATGATGAAGAAACTCTACGAGGAGGGAGACGACGAGATGAAGCGCAGCATCGCAAAAGCTTGGTCTCAGAGTCGGGATGGCGGGGCCTCTTCGACAATGGAAGGCATGGACTTCCCGTGAAATGGAACGATTAGGACATGCCGTCCGCTTGAATATCAATGATTTCTCGAACTATCGACGCTGATTTCTTCGGCTCACCATCCTGAGAGTAGCGAGAGGAATTATTCTTTAAACTTTCTCCTCCTCGAGGCTTCGGACGATGTGCACAATGGAAGTATTTCGGTGAATAATAAAAGATAGCCGCTTCTCGTCGATATCGGAGGAAAGCCTCTTTATTTACAGTCCGCACAAGTTTACATGCTGGAGACGCGTTCCGGAAGCCGCTCGCATGAATCAGAAGCCGGGCACGTTGAGGACCCGTCCTTTCTTCGATAACTTCTTCAGCTTATGGCTGACCTTCTGCTCGCGTCGAGCTTGCAAGTTCGCTTTGCGTTTGGCCTGACGCTCATCCTGCTGTTTCCTCACGGTGTCTTGTCGATCTGCCCATTTCTTCCTGGATCTCTCCTTTAGTTTCTCCCTCTTCTTAATAGATTTCCTAAGCATTTCGGGGTCATTCTTCTTCTTTATGCCCTTGGATTTGTCGATCGCGTCCAGCCATGCGGCCTTCTCTTCTATTTCTGCCGCTTTATTCGGGTCGGACTCCTGGAGAGACACAGAGATATCGTTCCGGTCAAGCGTTCACGAATAAAGCATTCTGAAATTCACCCAGTCACCTGCTCTACTCCCTTTCTCCCGATTCTGATCGGGAATGTTCATTCCTACCTTGAGCTCTTCGAGTTTCTTCTGTTTTTCTTCAACGAATTCGAGCTGCTTCTTGTAACCCTTGAGACCTTTGACGTTTGTCATCTTCTTGAGCGCTTTGTTGTTGGCTATCGGCGCATCAGGAGCCCCATTGTTGCTAAAATCGAATTTGCTGAATACCATCTTTCCCTCCGAATTGAAAACCGCTTTAGATTTCGAATTCGCCGGAGGAGTCACCGGGTCGACTTCCATGCTTCCTTCTGTTTTGGCCTTGCCACCTGCAACCCACAAAAAAGAATCCTTGAGAGGACGACGGAGCGATTCCCGCACAGAACGAATCCCGCTTCGAGACCGTGGCTCGACCCATGTCTACTGTGCGACCTCGGAGCAGGGAGGTCGAGGTCGATATGAGAACTACTTCGTTGCGTCGCCCTTCAACACGATTCCTACCTTTCATTTGATTTCCTGTACCCCGTTTATTCTTCTGCTGACGCAACTTCTCGATCTCTCTCCGAGCTCTGATCTGCTCCAAATCTCTACCGGACTTCATCTTCTCGATCTTCTGTCTCAAACTCTGTTGAAGGGCCTCAATTGAAGATGCTCTGTCTAGCGCTGGCGAATGCAGAGTTCCCTGTTTACTCACTGAAAATCGAGGTTTTGCTGGGAAATTAGACCTGCGAAGGCTCAACGAAAAGACTTCTCTTCGAAAACCGGTGGCATGCTCGAATAACCCCGTCTTCCAGCCACTGGTCTCCAAGGTGAACCGTGAGTCTCTAAAGCTTAGCTCATACTTACAGAGAGTCAATCTGTCTTTTTTGATTTTCTTGTTCTGTTTCTGGCGCTTTCCTTTCTCTTCCGCGTCGACTTCTTCAAGTATCCTTAGGACACTCTTGTTGATCGCTGGGTTCAACTTTGCGAATCTGTGCTTCCCGGCTTGACCGAGTTTACCAAATCGTTGACTGCCCCCTGCAGCGGAGAATAGATTTTCATTGAGTGGTAAGTTTTTCTAGCAGTCCGTAGCTGTCCTAGGCGAGAGGCGCAGACTGGGTGCGATCGGCGCAGGCCTACTGCCTTACTCACCTAGAGCTGACTCGGTCGTTTCCAGGATCTTTTCCCGGATCTCCTTGACAGTATCTTGGTCAAAGTAGAATTTCGCAGGAATTGTGTTGATCAAGGAACAGAAAAACTGATCGTCTTGTCGCATCTGCTGCAACGCAGTGCCTTCGGCTGACTTTTGGTCGGACGACATGCCGAAAATATTCAGAATCAGGGCACTCTGATCATGTAAATGGAGCGAGCTATCAGAAAGTTTCAGGATTCGATTCCGGACATTCCTTCAGTGACCACGTCTCCCGTGCTGGTGAAACATACGAACAGGGGAAAGGAACAACTCCAAGTGAGCTCTGTGGGCGCGCAGACAGCAGCACGTGGTCTCTTCTGCAGCCGGGATGTAAACAAACAAGAGCTAGCCGAGAGGGGGATGGCTGGACTCAATGCGTCCGCTTGTGCGCTCCTTGCCCTATTCCCCGCACGATCAAAGATATATGGCTCGGTCGATCCCGCGGAATCCTGAATACGCCAGGCCTCGCGACAACCCCAAGGAGTTCCTTAACGGGGAAATCTAGAACGGGAGTAAGATCTATGGGTGGTCTGTGGAGGAGTGGAGAAGAGACGATGATGCTGGTGATCTCTCTTGAAATTTCGTGCGCCATCGGGCGGCCCCCTCCATTTCTCGAAACCTCGATTCTTCGGTTCCGTTGTGAGTTGTGACTATTCAATCAGGGCAGCCGAGTAAATATTGAAAAAAGTCAAGAGAAGACCTGCATGCCAGGAGCCAGGAAGCCGCGCCATCGCGACTCGCGACATCATCGCCTATCGCCGCGTGAAGACTCTGCTTGGTGGATATGTGCCGGAACGGTGGGATACACGGAGACGAGTGCCGAGACGGACCTCTTCGGGACGGAATTGACGAACGGAAAAAGTTAGCACATTTCCCAGCTAATTTGCGGCCCTTCGAAGAGATGAAGCAGCTCGTGCAAGTCTGGGAGTTCTCGGGTTTTGGTAATTCCAAGCAGAGATCATGATCATCAGCGTCTGACAAACGTTCGTCTGCGACCGCGATCAGGAACTCGAGTGTGTTCCAAATCATCAGGTTGCTCACATGCTCCGTACGCTCTCCTTGTCGATCTTCGAGTAGGCATGCTCAAGCTGTAGCGTTCCCGCACTCCTCGAGAACGGCGCTCCTGCGTTCCGTGAGACTTTGATGTCCGACCTCATTACACGCGCGGGTCGCCGCCATTTTCTTACACCTATTTACAAACACTGTTGAGCAAGATCGCGATGGCGCTGCTGCCACAGTGAAAGCTGCGCATTAGGATTCTCGGTCTTGGTGGAGTCGACCGGAAAACCTCGGTACGTCCTTCAATGTTCTCTTAACGGCTACGATCACGTTAAATCCGTTCAGTTTTTCCTTGGTGTTCCGGTTACGATACGTTCCGTTCAAAGGCCCTTGGCTCCAGGATCAGATATCGCAACGATTGAAAGCTCGAGAGCTGACCAGCTGATTCCCCATCGGCGCTCACAGCTGATCTCTCCGAGCTTTCGCAGAGCTGCTCTGCTTCGTCGACGATCATTGGACGCTTGGCTTATTATCGGGCTTGAGTTTCCTATCCCTGAGGATGAAAGATGTCTCGAGACATTACGTCCTTGTAGACGACGGTTTTTGAAGGCCAGTCAACGAGGTCTCCATATGGATTTGTGGAGCATTTACAGTAGTTTTGATTGCTGACAGCGACTTTCGACGGATGTGGACAATTGAGCCAACATGGAGAGTCTTCAGGAAGGTCGAATTACATGGTTTCGATGAATCATGCTGTCGAATTAAGATGCGATATCTGATGAGGATGACTGGGTCTATCATGCGCAGCTTGAGCGGGGACGATCGGGGCAGCGCCCTCGTCATTCCTCACCTGATTCATTCTCATTCTATTGAGTACGGCGCCGATGCTCCCCGTGACGGACTTGTGGTTCGCAGTGTCATTCTCGTTCTGGTGTCACAGCGAAAGAATCAATCCCGATATTCGACGTCCTGAGATCATCCGGGTGTTTCTTATATCACGGTTCTGAACCCCATCGGGGGGGCACGGGGGAGCGATTTTTCTTACGGTATTTTGAATTTCCAGGAAATGTCGGCCTCATCCCCGGGAGAAGAAGTGTCCTGGAGGAGATTACGGAGGTTCTTGTTCATGGGGAGCGAGAGCAATCGTTATCTTCGCAGCAAGCGACACCCTTGCATCGACAACGCATTCACCATCAAGGAACTTATACACAGGGGTCGAGGATTGGATGTTGTTGTTCTCATTCTGCGATACTCCACGGAAAAAATCTCAATATGTCCAGAAGCACTCGCGTTCTCGCTGGCAGTCTGCGCTCAATCCACAGATATCGTGAGTGGCCTCAAGCGTCAGAATCACGCATTCAGAGAGCTTGTCGGTCACGCCCTTTCGAGTCAGTATCTTAATTTGCGTCGATTTCCAGGCAACGAAGAGCGCTGCATACGGTGCTCTGAAACAAGTGTGCAATACGGCCGCGACGTTATTTGCCTTCACGAAGTACATGGAAGACACCCAGCGTCCCCTGACCACGGGCTGGGGACGGGCACATCGATCCTCGGTGAAGAAGTGGTATCTGAGTCACAACACGAGAGAGCTCGCAGAAATGGTCACCAAAACGGTCTCTCGGTACAGATGGTCTCACCGCGACGTACTCAGATTGGCTCACGTGAAACCACCCTCCTTAGGTGAGCGAACTCACTTGATCGTCCGTCCGTGCTCACGACTAGCTTCGAAAAAGATCGAGCACGAGCCTTGAACGAATCCACGGTCGTTGCAGGAGTTTCGTGCGTTTTTCGCTACGTCTCCAGAGGATTTCACGATGCGAAAGAAAAATACGGCACCTGTGACGACCTCGAGGTGAAAGACACTCTGACGTATCTTCAGGCTGTCTACGATTTGAAACAAGCGCCGACCGCAGCGCAAGCAGCTAAAGTCATGAAGAACAATCCCTTGGCTGTGAGTAAAGGTGGAAATTATTCTTCCGAATAACGGAATTCTCGAGACAACGACGGTGAATATATTGTCCCTCCCTAAACAAGGTCGAGCACATTCCCACGCGATATCTGCATGCCCGGGACGTGTGGTTGGCGTGCATGTCGAGAGCGCCTATCGAATCTATTCTGGAGTGGCTTCCCCATCTCGCCCACAGCAACCTACTCAGACCAAGTCTTGGATTGTTGCGGATCATCATGCAGAGGTAAGGGCCTGACTCCGTCAACTTCAAGGTGGTACGACGCCTCTTGGATCCTCGAGATCGGTAGTCTCATATGTTTTTCTCGTTTCCCTCACGGAATGGCTTTCTCCTCGCAGGATAAGTTGTGACTCGGTTATGACGAATTGTCCTTGGGACCCATGCGCCACCTATGTCCTCATGAGAACCATCTGTTCCACGTCGATACATTCGACTCTCCCCCCGACACCGGAAGTGCCACCGACGGCGCGACAGCTCCAAGAAATTTTGTACAATTTGCACATGGCATCCTTCAAGGTTAGCTGCTCGATGGCATCAGTTATTCATTGATCGAGAAGAGGCGCTCGATCGAACGCAGACCTACCAGATCCAAGGAATGATGTTGGACGAGTCACTCGCTGGCCGTCTTGAGCTGAAGACTCGGAGTGATTAAGTATTTTTGGTGATTTCCAGCAAATGCGGCCAACACTCAAGAACTACCTGATAGTGACAGACGTGAGTAATGGGATGTGGCACAGTGGTTCTGCGGCTCACCCAGTGACGGCGATCGAAGCGTCGATATTGCTCGCCATGTCGTTATGCCGACAGGAAGGTCTTGTTGGGGGCAGAGTGCAGGCCCTGGCCTTCGGTCGGGCGGGTCTGCACGATTTGGAGATCAATCAGAAGATGACGATGGCAGATCTTCTCGAGCGATGCGAAGAAGTGGATCCTGGTACAGCTAGTCTTTGTCTGCCTCTGAGGTGAGTGGGAGAAATTTTCTCGGAGATTCGGCATCATCAACGAAAACTTCATCCATGCTCCAAAAAACTTTTTCGGGCTGATCCACACAGTCAAGGTTTAACGTCCCGGGTACTGTTATTCACATTGCTTCCGAGGACGGATCCATAGAGCAAATGTACTCAGGAGGATCAAGGCCGAGTACCTGCATACTTTTCCGGCAGCAGGGATCGAACCCACACCGCCTCCCGCGCGAGCGGCGTCGTTGCGGCTATGCACGTCCATGCTCCATGAAATCATAAGTTTGTCCAGCATTTTCCTGAGCGGTCTCTCTTTTCAATCCCCGAACAGATGGGCCTCTCAACGGAACAACGAATTCGACGTGATCATTGTTTGCACAGATCGTCAATGCAATACTGTTGATACCGTTCACCCTGCAGAGGCCCTTAAAGACTACCGTCGGATTTGCAATGTAAACGATGCCAAGTGAGTGTGTCCACCGAGGTTGGATGAGATTTGACTCGGAACTAGATCGAACTTGTAGAATTCTGTTCCCTTGAAAGAACTCCGATGGGATGTCGAAATGAATGATCTAACAATGTCTTCCACTCCAGATATGTGACGTGCGCCTGGTTTTCGAGAGGTTTTGCCGTCGCGCCACCTGACGAAGCAGGAATGTTGGACGTGTGCTGTTTCGACGAAAACATAATCAAGATCATTGTCAATTTCGCTTTGGACAACATCTAGACTACTTATGTAAATCCGGACACTATTACCGAGCGATCGAGGGAGCCCGCCGGTCATCCGAGCACTCCCTCTGAACACTGCCGCGTGCTTTCAAAGCTCTCAGGATCCTGCATCCAGCATTGTCAAAAGATCGTCAACAAGGTCTTGTACTCTGGCGTCAGCTCCGGTTCGGCGGATGGAGCGTCGAAAACATACCAGGAAGGACTCGATAGGCACACGTGACTAACTCTCTGTTGCCCATCGTATGCGACTCGGAACCTCTACTCTAGTATTCGCAATCCCACGAGGGCTGGCTTATTTCAATCGAGTGAATTTCGAAATCCAAACCGATCGCGAAAAACGTCCCGCTTTTCAGAGAGCGCTACGCGACGAGTCCGCGAATGAGTGATGTTGCGAGACTTATACCCACCGCTACAGAACACTGATTCGCTCATCACCTTCTACAAGTGAGACATCCGAATTTATCCGCTGATCTATTGTTAAATCGATAATGCTCTTCGATCAACCGATTTTGTACATGTCGAATATTAGATTTGAAACTTGAGCGATCCCAAGGCCCTGGCGAAACTTTCAGGGGCGAGGGGTGGGCGACGGGGCGATCTTCGCGGCTCTATCGGGCTTGTGCTCAAATCGGTGCATCCGAGGCGAATTCTCTACAGTTGTCTCTGAAAACCATTGGCTACGAAGATCGTCCGAGCTAGTCCTTCGTCGATTAACTATCTCGACTCTTAGGTACTCGATCGCAATGATGTTAAAGTATACTTTATCTACTTTTCACGACACCTCTATACAGGTCGAATACGAAAGGATTAGGTTAGTTCCATTCCTGTGCAAAATGTTCCGTTATAATTCGTGTACATGAAGAAGTGCCTAGTGACCCACGACCCAGTTTATGAACTATGAATGAGAGTAATTTTCTTACCACTGCTCTATTGAAATACATTTGTTTGATCGAGCTTATCATGACGGAATTTATAGGTCGCCTCGTTTGCATCGAGTGGCATCCACCACGCATGTGCAGGGCCGACCGAGCCAACCGCAATCACAGCAGTGACGTAGTCAGGAAAAATCTATGAGTCTTCCCTGATACAGACATGTGCTCGCTAGTTCCATCTTGTCTACCCGGCTCCCTAGCCTTGAGAACATCCTAGGATGCACTGCGTGGGACCTTATCGTGAAACCTTGTTGCGAGGCCGTTCCGTGAAGCCATTTCGCGGACAAACCACATGAAGCGGAGCCTAATCCGGACCAAAAACCCTTGAACTTCTATCGAGGTAGCAATGTAACCTCCTATACTCTATACCTATCCGAACAATATTAGCGGGTCCAAGTACGTGATGAATCTGGAAATCGTTCTGTTTACTGCGCCGAGTTTTCCGGACGCATCCTCACGTTGGTTTTTGAGCGGTGAGCAGGAATACGTCGATTCGACCGTGGTCTGATTGGCGAAAACTGACCTCTGACGAGCTGGACCCGGGAAAACGCAGGGAGCCGGCAGCGACATCCAGTGACGAGCAAACTATCTAGGGCGCATGAGCAATTGTTATACTTTCTCGCTGCAGACTCTTCAAGAGCTTCCGAAATTCGTATGATCGGTGATTGAGAATCCGGAGGGAAGATGTTCTCCTCTGGAGACTCAATCGATCTAAGGAGAAGAGCTCCCTCCATAGAGAGGAGCCTCACGACTCATGAGTCGACAGATCGTCTCCTCTGTGTAGTTTCTCGTTCTAGCATCCCCTGATGTCAATAAACAGAGGAACCAACGGAAACCCAAGCCCGAGTCTTTTATTTCCCCTCATTCGCAGAGGCACAGCGAGGCTGGCCGATGCCCGAGGAGTTCTCCGCTCTAGGAAGACGCTCAACGAATCAAGTTTCCGATGTACTCAGGACCTATTCTGGGCCACCGAGGATTTCTTCAGGTCTCAATCATTCAGCCGACTCGACGACAGCCACCATTATTCCTGTCACTGAAGGTATTCTTCAAATTCACGCGCATGTACATATATTCTACAGGCATCGAATAAAAATTCCAAAGAAACACTAGACGCACGTGCTCCCATCGTCGGACACGTCTTAGCTATCGGGCTACCTCAAGGTTTCGAAGGGTGGGAATCGAACCGAGAGACCGTTGATTCTCTCGTGTCAGTAAGATAAGAGCATTTGGATCATTTGAGAAGGCGATGACCTCTCGTCAGGAAAAGTCGATACAAATACCTAGGTGAATCGCCGAATTTTCGCTGAGAGCAGAAACGAGATCTGAAGTCTGACTCGAGCCCGCCAACGGCATTGTGGGCTTTGAAGCTCCGGAGCATAGATGCCCGTATTGGGCCGTCTCCTCGGCCCCTCCTTCCTAAGATACGTGACCATTCAGCCGCTCCCCGCGAATCGTAGAGCGAGTCCGGGTAAATACTCAACATCGCGAGAGCAACCCGCGAGCCGAGGCCGTTATTCCGTGAGGGTTGGAGGCTGGCTTCATCGTAATGGCTTACGCAATGCTAATGTGTCCCGTTCACCTAATCGCCAAGAGGGGAATCGGCCGTCAAGGTGGAGAGAGCCACGAGCGAGCAGAAGGTATTAGTGGTTAATACCTGCTGGAATCCACGAATGGACGGGAGGGCCCGTGCGTTCGGTCGGTCGCCGGCTTGCTTTGCTACTTCTGCTGCCCGTAACGTCGGAGGCGGCAATGGAGGTAGGAGTTGTCGCGTGAAATTGCGTGGAAAGACTTGGTTCCTCTCGCGACCCGGTTAATTGCACGGTGCGCCTACTGCGGCATTAGTTAGGCGGCTGCTTCAGCTGCCATAGGATGGTAATGGCTCCGTCGATCTCTCTCGCTCTGCCCGACGCTCAATCATTTTTATTCATTTTCGGCTTGCGTCCCGAGCCGACATTCCACTTTTAGACTTTCTGAATCCCATGCGAAATCCTTCTCGACCATCGTGAGCTCATAAGATGCGCATCGGATTTAGCTATTTCTACATATATCAGACTACGATGAGGCTGACTCTTTTCCGGAGAGTCAGGAGCTCAATGGCCGGGGGTAAGTTAGCTATCCATGATTCTGACTTCGCGGCGTACTCCCCCGTGACACCTACCTTCTGGACTTCAACGCGGCGGACTTACAGCCAGCGTACGCAATCTATACGCGGGAAGAGGATGTCGTTTCCCAGCGCGGAGCTCTTCGCAGATCGGGGAAATTTCATCACGAAAAGCTTCTCGATCGAGGAGCCGAATCTCTACGAGCTTCCGTGAGATATAGACTCTCACTCGAGGGGAGAGAGCTCGCAGCGAAGGAGGAACACCAATCTCCAGATGGCAGTTGATACAAAATCGAGTTCATGACCCCGCAGGGGTCTTCTGCCCGGCTCGCGGGAGTAACCCGTGAAGTTTCGGCTCCCCGTGATGGACGAACGAGTCGTTGGTCGGTACCTGGATACGGAATGAACTCTCCGTTGTTGCCTCAGGCTCTTTCACGAGGATCACAACGAAATCTTCAGAGAAGTGCTAAAAGAAATGAGAAATTTTTTCAAACTTTGTTGTTAAACTCTCCTCCGATTCTCTCGTATAAATATACGCATGTGATTGTCTCTCGCCGAGTCGCGTCGACACGAAATTGTAGATTGATTCTTGGGCGCTATCCGAATCGAGAGCGTTCCGGCGTGAGCTTGAAAGCCGCTCCTGCTCCCGGAACGAGCAAGAAGTTGATGGGGGTGAGGCCTTCCCGACGAAACAATCCCGATCCGCAAACACTGACTCCATCGATGGAGCCCGGGAGATTGGATTTAGGAGGTTCTCCCCGACCCGAAAATGTCAAATGGGGTGATACGTGAGCTGTCTTCCAGGATAAGGACTGGATTCGCGCGGGATTGAGGCGAGGAAGACTTCTCTCATAGGTAGCCAGCCGTTCCGGAGCATAGTCTCGCATCAGGGAGTCGTTTCCAAGCGGAGGCACTAAAAGGGAGCCACGAGGGCGAAACATGATACGGGAAGCTTCGAGGCTAGAGGGGAGCAGGGCGCGCGGAGCACTCGGCCGGCCACACCGTAGGTTCCCATTCGGAGCTGTCAGGAGAGCTCATTGTAAGAACGTCGAGAGCGATTTCCTCCTATATTCACGCAGGGAACTTATCAGAAGGGATGTCGCGCCCTGTACGAGGCTCCATGCAGGAAACCCCTCTTAGATAGCATGGGGAGGGGATTCGTCGCTGTGTTTTATGAGAAAAATCGGTGGGGCAATGGGTGAGGGAACCTCATGCGGCGTGGGAATGCTCGCAGGGAATCTCTGTGATCAATTCACTGATCTTCCCGGTCGATGGAAGGCGTTCGATTATGCTTTTCGATTCATTATCTGTACCCTGATTGCCAGATTTTGGAGCTGAAATTTTTCTTCAATCCGTCCGAATGGGTTGAATGCCGGGACTCCTCTATGCCAGCGAGATCGACCGCGACCGAAGCTAACGGGAGCCGAGTAATCGGTGCCTTGGATAATCAGATCGGCTCAATGATCGAGCCAAGATGCGAGGGAATTCTCCTGGACTAATCAGATTCCTGATTCAATCAGAGGCGCACCCTTTGCTTCCGAATCGCTCTGATCAAATTCAAAGTTTCGCCGCTGCTCGGTCGACTACTCGCGGATCTCACAATTCCGAAAAACTTGATCTCTGTTAGCCGAGCTATTAGTAGAACAGAGAGGGTCGAACGGAAGTCAATTATTTATAGTCAGATCCCAACCTGGCATACAGCCCCCTCCGATCTTCTTGGAAAGCGGATGCTTTGAAGAACCATGCAATCCTTGCCCAGAGAACCACAGACGATAAGTGGCTCCCTTTTTAATTATAATCGAGACTATAGTCGACCAGCCGTAGGGGCGCCCCGCCCCGCCGCGTGCCACCAGGGCTTCAATCACATCATGGTGGGAAGGCTTTACATTTACTGAAAAATGACTGTGAAAGGAGAGAGACAAGAATCTCGCGGAAAGCATGCGTCCGAGCAGCTTGGAAGGTATATCTTGACCCCACGA